ACTCGTAAGTACTAACTAACCTAACCGGATTATATCTGTTTAAAACCCTGTTATTTCAAATTCTCTATTACCTTCCTAAAAATCTGTAATCTGATTGAATTTTAACGCCCATACGCATAATCCGGTTTACCGCATTACGGGCACCCGTCCGGTTAGGCACAGTCAGAAATGTAAATACAGTTCCTTTATATTTTTTTATGATAGAGAAGGAAAGACAAGTACCTATAGGGCTCACTTAATGGAAGGTTGAATATCGCAGCACTATAACGCCTCAACAAAATGAACTGTCGACTTATTTTGGCTTTGGACATTCAAAAATCCATTGACTAACACCGAAACCCGATTAGCCTTCACGTCTTTTTCATCCGTTCACGGTGGTTCGTGTCTTAGATGCAATTTCGATATTCTTGCCACCCATGCGATATCCAGATTTCCCGACAAAGATGTTTCAATATTTTTTTTTATTTATAGATGGATTAGAAACACGTTGAATCCAACGGGAATTGGACCCACGCTCCTTTGATTATTAGCCATACATTGCTACTTTACCTGCGACCTTTTCGCATTGTCCATCGGCTACCGCACAACCGTTGCTGTTGTTCATTCCATTGTGGCCTATTTGCAAGTATAGCCAGCGCCGCATAATCTGTAGATATGAATTCCAACCGGACGGCTAACCACATTTGGCTATCCATAACAAACGATTTGTTTATTCACAGTGCTTCATAAAACTGAGTTTATATACAGGGGCAACCATAGTATAGAGCTTACAGTAAATAAACAGGCAATTACTTTATGAAGTACCAATCAATACGGTTCTTTTGAATGCGTGTTTCACGATGCAAAACACGGTTTTTAACGATCAGACATGTATTTATTAGTAGTTTATTTATTAATGTATTAACACATATTAGCTCATATGTAATATGACTCAAAACGTTCCGAATTGAATGTACAATTTTTCATACTTTATTATAGGTTGCGTTTGGAATTCAAATTAAGATTAAACGGTTTCTAATATTGTCAAAGCTTTTCTTTTGAAAAATGTTTATATGTGATAGTTACATAGTTCAATAAGTAAAGCGAGTTTATGGTTGGTGAATTCGACGCCAATTCGTGTCCCGACTTTCCTAAAATACACTTTAATACGTATTTTAGATACATTGTATGTAAAACTAGGTATTATTAACTGATTCAAATATATGTATTTAAAGTATGTTTTAAAATAATAAAATTCAATTCACATTTTACTCAATATGACTATTTTACAATTTAATCCGTATTCTTTATAAAAGCCGTGAAATCAGAAGTAGTGCATGACATATTAATTTTACCGCGGGTAGCGAGCTTAAGACCTCTCGCGTTCATCACATTGCTAGGCAAAGCATTTAACCATGATCCCCGGAGGAGGAAACGGATGGAGACGTATATAACTAATTACGTGGAGCTTTACTCTCTTAAATTTTTCTCGTAATTTAAAGAGAGAGGCCAAATCCCTAAAATACACTTATTATACCACACCTATTTATTTTTATGAGGTAGGTATAATCCCATTTTAAGAGCAGCTACATTTTTTAAAAAATATATAACTGTAATGCGCCTTGCCTAAACTCAACTATTCCATTTAAATAAAACACTTAACAGTTTAATTGTGTACTACTCGCGTAAACTATAAACAGTAGTCAACTATTCTATTTAAATAAAACACTTAACAGTTTAAACATCGCGTAAACATAGACAGTAGTCAACTATTCTAGCCGAAGTTCAAATAATAATATAGGCGCCGCTAACTGCAATGCATTTAATCTCTCAAATATTGTAGCGATCTTAAAAATAACTTATAGAAGTCGTTAAACATCGTTATCTGCGTAAAACATTGACACAGCTGATATAAAGTGAGACCTTATCTGTTTTCTACAGCAGACAAAGTAATAAACGTTGCAGAAATATTGTTAAGATAAAAATAATTAGGCACTTAATAATATATCTTTTAAATAAAACACTTTTACGGTTTAAAACGTGATATATATTAGTTAAACTTGTATGACAATTAATTTAACTACGGCCCGAAGTTTCGCATGTTTTGCAGCAGCCAAGGTCACGGGAAGACACGGCTGCTGCAATATATCGCGTTTTAAACCATTAAAGTGTTTTATTTGCATTTGATTTTTTACAAAAAAAGCCTAGAAGCAGAAACATAAAAAATGTAGATGTATTAAAAAAAGTCCAGCGCGAGTCGAACATTTTTTCAATTTATTTTAGATGTAGATTTTTCAAATTGGCCTGTGTTTTAGCACACTTTTTTAAATAAAACTAACACCGCTTTAAAAAAAATGTCTTAGCTATGGGAAGACAAATGATGATAATAATACATTAATAATCTATGACATCTCCACAAGGGTAGCCTTTATACAGGATATTAAAGCATTGGACAAAAGTAATATGGCGTTGTCTAAGCCTCAAGGAATGCACTTATAGTCACACTCTTATTTAGTGTAACCGCAGTGAGCGTGGGTGGAATATTGCGATTGGTATAAGCGATAAGAGGAAGCGATTTTCATCACATATTTATTAGTTTGTCAGCAAGTTCGTCTGCGTAGAATAGTTATTTTGGGCATCCAAATTTGTTTTTGCAAACCTCCTTTTTATCTTTAAAAAGCTGTTACCCACGACGTTGTATGTTTTCCGTCAATCTTGCAAGATTAATCTTAAAAGATAGACATACATTGTCGTGTGGCAACGTTTTTAGAACAGTCAAAGAGGAATCAATCTTTCGTACATATTTTTTTGGTATCTTGAACCGGTTTCGCAACGTACGAATCGGAAACCCACAGAGATTGATAATTTTCACCGCTTTTTTCACATTTCCGTCCTATTACATATTGTGCGTTCATAATTGCTTTTGTGGTTAAATGGTCTCGTAACCATGGAAACACCAACAAAATAAAACGCTTTAAGAAATTCAATTATAGATATTATAAATATGACATTTCTTAACAAGCTCTTCGTGAACTACAATTTTGTTTAGATGAAATAATTATATTCGTCAAAGTAACTTGTCTTTAAATATATTAATACTGTATTCTAGTGTCTTTAAATAAAGAAGCTTTTTTAACTATTTTTCTTGTTTTAGTATGAAGCTATAACCAGCTTTATATTATTTTCAATCCAACAAAATAAGTGAAATTTAAAACTAAAAACATTATGAAGGCGGCCAAGCATTGTGTTATACATTCGCCTTTCATATAAAACATTAATTAAAAGAAAACCAGGCACTTAATATACGGAAAACAGGAAAAGTTATAGTAGCAAGGGTCGACGTTGCAGGCGAATTTGAATTTTACGAAGCACAGTTTAAAACTGAGATTTCCTTCTAAGCTAAGAAATCTTTTGATGTTTCAGCGAATTATAAAAATTTGTAAGAGTAAGGACTAAGGTGCAATTAAATAAATGCTGAAATTCGTTAGAAACTGTATAAAAAAACATCACACGCTGGCGTCGCGAGGGGACGTGTTGCAGTTAGTGTGAAAATATAGACATTGGAGAAATTACTGTATGGAATCTGAGACCTATAAGTAACTGTTTTACTCTAAGTAAATTCACGAATAAATAAAAAAACTACGTACATACTTACTAAAGTGACAACAAACAACTTAATGGACTTAAAACAATTAAATATCTCTCTGTTTGTTTAAAAAAAAATCAAGAATTTCCTGTAGTTTACGTAGCATATATTTAATTAAAATACGTTTAACGGTTTAAAACGCGAAATATATGAGTTAACTAAGCCCTTCGTTACTGCAGCGGCTACAAAGCCGGAAATCCCGGACTGTCGGGTCGTCAATAAAAATAGGTTAACAAATGTATTTTGCGTTTTAAATATGTGTTTTATTTAAATAATGAATAAGTTACTTTCAGTTTTAATTTTGTTCAGGTTCAAGTTTACTTTAAAGCCAAATGAATACAATATTTTATATACCAATGACATACATACATAAGTGCTATTTCTACAAACAACATACAGTTTTAAAATTTCAATTATTAGACTTTTAGAAATAAACAATATTGGGAAGACTTTATTTATTTTGTTTTCTCGACATTGTAAGAACTTCCCAATTTTGATTTATATCGCAACATAAACACACACCTTTATTTTATATGTATATACATATGTTCTTAGATGAACGCCCACAGAGAGAGCTTTAGAAAATAAAATTGTTTTCATTGCAAATTTGCATCCTGTGTTTAACGGGTGTTATAAAAGGTGTTTTATTTAACTCCATTATAATAATGTTCCTTTGCATTACATTTACTTATTCTATTCATTTCAGTAGCTTTTTATTTCACAGTCTTTAAAACCTGAGGAATATAATTTAGTCGCTTCTAAAATGGGACTTAACGATAAATTTTAAATTTAAAAACATATAAAGAAAGACATAGTTAATACACACAAATAACAATTAACGAACGGTGTGTATAAACCACTTTAGCGAGCTATAAAATTAAAGAACACCTCTGACGTTTAAAATAAACCTTCCTTAAAATATATGTTGCTTGTAAACTTAGCAAAAGTTTTTTTTTTTGTTTAAGTGGAATAGGTATGTAATGTTGATGTTGATCGTCTTGTAAATATTTTTTTTAACAGAGGAGTACAGACAAGCACGTGGTTCACTAAACTTAAAATTTACGCCTTTTTAATGGACGGTGTTTCGTGACCGGGGTGGTTATTCCGATCACCCGTTTAAAATCCAGATTTCCAGACGAAGTCCAAAATGGTTCAACCAATTAAAATTGACTAAAAAATGTTGGACCTACTGAAAATCTAACCCACCCATCATTACATCAATGGGCCTGGCAAAAAATTGCAGGTAAGTATTCCAAATTTAGGACAATGTGGAGTTGGCCTACTAGGATTTATATCCCTTGAAATACCAGGAATCCAGCGTTTATAGCAGTTAACGTTTTTGTAATACTAATGGAAAGGAAACAGTACATGCAGCTCAATTACCTGGCTCATCAGATATCTCAGGAAAATGCGGTGCACCGGAAGGTTGTCCACCATAGAGTAAATTCAGTTCTCTGGCCTCGTTCTCTTCTTGAGCTTGCTGCCGTCGCAGCGCCACCTAAACGATTATACAGAATGTTACTCTTTATAATTTACCTATACTAATTGCTGATTAAGCTGGAGAGGTTGTTTGAACGCGCTAATCTTAGGAACCACTAGATAGAATTGAAAAATACTTTTGTGTTGGATACACCATTATTAAGGAAGACTTTAGGCTATAAAAGATCAAGCTGCAACTAATAGAAGCAAAGAAACAGAAGCGATATAAACGGATTCATTTTCGAGGGTGACCGTTGCGTCCGCTGCGAAATTGGTTCAAGATAATAAATATGTATGAATGAATTATTATTATTTAAATAATCTATCGGCGACGAATTAACTCACAAGAACCGTTTATGTGGGAATCGAATTTCGTCAAAATTCTTTAGATAACAAAAGAACGATTGCCAGGTCAACTAGTAATTAACACTAATTTACTTTTCAAGAACTTTTAGTTCTAGCTCTCTATATCAACACACTTTTATCACCTAGGCCATAGAGAGAAAGATTTGCATGTTACAAAATTTTAAACGGACATCAAATGTTGCCATAACTTATAGTTATAGACAACAATAGTGAGATATTTATTTATTTAGCAGACACACGAAATATCGTGTCTTTTTAGACAAAAAAATAAGCAGAGAACACAGTCTACATTAATTCTTAACTCTGCGAGTGACAAGACCTTAGTAATTTGTACTTATTAGCATTATAACAGTATTAACGGTTGAAAATAATTAATAATTAATTAATAGGTTTGGGATGCCTTACAGCAGCCGTGGTCTCTCTGACGCAGTTGACTTAGTTTTGGTTCCAAGAGTAGGTAAAAGTCTTGTCGCAATTTACGAGTCTACATAGACCGCTAAAATATTTTTTTACTATAGTAGACATTCCTCTTTAAATTGGGCGTAAATAAATCCAGTAACACTGTACTTTTTTTTATGTGACATATACAAATGGATTCATACTTACAATACATGATACAAGATTTTTACACAATTCTTTTTGCAGTTACGCGTGTAATCAAATAAATAACGAATGAAGGTCTGAACTGAATGAATGAAGGACTGAAATAAAACTCACCTGTGCGGCCATAACTCGCTGTCTTTCAGCGATCAGCGTACACTTTGCGCAAACACAGTCCCTCCATCGACAATAGCGTTTGTGACCTTTCAATGCTGAAACGACGCCGTGATTGCGACAGCGCGCGCATTTTGGTGTCCTCTGAAACGAGATTGATAAGTTAAGAAAATTCCGATGAAAAAGAACAATACATAAACTATAAATAAGTAAATACTGTCTATAGAAAACCGTTAAAGTGTTTTATTTAAATATAAAAAAGTATATTTGACGGGCCCGTTGGTGTAATGGTAGCAACGTATGGCTAATAATCAACGGGTCGTGGCCTCGATTCCCTCCAGGTCCAACATATTTCTAATAATTTTTCTGAAACACATTAAACTTCGTCTGGGAGTCTGGATATAAAATGGGTGGTAGGAATATCGAAATTCCGTCCGAGTTACGAACCACCATCCACAGATGAAAGAGCCGTGAAGTTTAATCGCGTTTCGGTTTCAGTTCGCGAATTTCCGAATATCCAAAGCCATATTGAAATAGGTCAAGAACCCATCTTCTTTCGGTGTTATATGGCTGGTATATTTCACCTTACATGAAGTGAGCCTGCCTGTCTTCCTTCTCTATCAAACAAAAAACAAAAAAATATCTTTAACGCTAATAAAAAATGTTTGGTATGTTATTTGTGTTTCAAAAGTGTTCGGTATGAATTAAACGAGAAAGACACAAATTTTAAAATGACATTGTGTGTATTATTTTTATTCAAATCCTCTTAAGAAATAACTTATTTTTCATACTTAATAGTATCTATTAGAAGATGATTACAGATACATAATTTTATAAGCACGAATAAAATATTATTGTGATCTAATACTATCATTCTCCTATAAAGAATATCATATTTCAATTTGTAATAAGACTACAAATTATAATAATCGAATTACGTCTTTTGAGCCCCTATTACACTTTTCTATTACAAATTACAATAGAGTGATACTGTAATTAGGATTATTATTTGTGTTCTATTGTAATTCGTTACAATGTGGGTACGGAAGTGTTATAAGAAACCTCTAGTTGCATAAACTGTAATTGAAACCTTGTAATTTAAGTTCTACCGATTTGCATTGATTAAACGTGATAGAAGGGAATTCTATTTTCCCTAAAGATATTCAAAATTTATAATTTTGATTACTTATTAAATAAGGATATTCCTAAGACGTCTTTTGTGCTTGACACTTATTATCAAAAATATATTTTTGCTAATGTCAATTTAAATACACTATCTGCTAAACTATTTAAAAACAAACCAATATATAATAATAATATATATCCATTTTTTGGTATTTGTCTACTAAAAAAAAGAAATAAAATTCAAGTTTAATTTTCCACTAAATCAGACATTGTTACAAGTAATCTTTTCTACAAAAAATATTCTTCTACAACGCAAAATACTACCGCTACTTAAAGCTTCAAAAGTAAAAGGTAAGACTTTTAATCAGCTGATAACGATTTACCCACTGACCTGATATCTTTCGGAGGCTCGCAGGAAAAATGGAGGCAAAGCGGCCAAAACCGGGTGTTGAACCAGCTGGGACACATCAACGCCGTTCGGAAGAGACATTTTGTTTACGAAAATCCAATCAGAATACAATATTTTAAAAACACATCAAAAACTCATTTTCCCGCGCCACAAAAAAGTATATTTTAAAAATATTACAAATTACAACAATTGCACACGATTCCGCGTCTCTATTGTAATTCCAAATTCAAATAATTGTAAAACCACGAACGAGATTTCGAAAATGGAACAGGACACAACGTCTCGTCGCAAGTTGTATCGAACACTGTTGCTTCATTTTCGGTGGAACGCGGACAGTTGCGGGGCCGCGTGCGAGAGGGACTTCCGATATCGAACCGACACACTGTATACAACCGATCTACCTCCATCCCTTTCTAGCTGGAGTGTTAACTGTATATGTTGTATCACCCGGTTATATAAAATGTTATGAGAAGAGTGGATCTCGAGCGCCAATAGGGAAGGCTTTAAACTCCGCCTCGCCGTGCCATTGGCGGGCTCGCGATGAAACTTAATTTATAAAGGTGACTTTTTTGAGTTCGCCAACAAAGCTGAATTGAATGGAATACAAAAAAACACAATTATATTTGTTATTCGAGTCCTGGATAGGTTTTTTTAATATATTGTCGGTTTTGTTGTCTTGTTTCCAGTGTTGATGCATGTTAGGGGTTTTATTTGCGTTTAATGAGATTTACATTGATAACATTATGTTGATGTCTATAGACAAGGTAAGATGGAGGAATCCTATTTGCATATAATTCACTTTAGATTAGGTGATAACATCTAAATAGTGAATTATATCGTAGATAGTCTTGTTCATTGATTTTAATGTAATGTAGAGCCCCGTTTTATCTATGTTGGGCATGGAAACATATTTCTTTCTTGATTTTACTGCTCGGGTGTATTTACAGGGAAGTTATTTATCAGAATCTGTGCCCTGCCCGACCGAAATTATGTAAATCCCCACGATTCGAATTATGGATTCCCAGCGGTATATTATTATTAGCTACTATTACTAAACTTTTGACGAGCTATGAACATATCTGGAGCTATAAACTTTATAACCCCTAATATTTATGAAGGAAGTGACGAGTTTTCACCACCATTTTTATAATTCCAGCGTCGTTTTAATTAAAATTGTCGAGTTTACTGGAAACCGATGAAAATGTTTATTAAATTGGATATCAATTTTATCTGAGTGAGGAAGGTGAGACCAAATTGAAATATTTCAATTTACTTGTCGCTCCATTCGCAGTTGAGAACACAACAGTAGGAAATTATTAATTTACAGAAACATAAGAATAATATGTAAAAACATTACAATCTTTAGTTTCTTCTTCATATAGGAATAGCAAGACTTATAAGATAGTTAAAGTAGGTAGCTAGATACGAAATGAGGACATACATATCTAACTGAAGTTCTTTTTAATTATGACATCTGTAACTATAATAGTAAAATATGATATATTAAACAACTAGGTATGATTCGTTGAGGTTTTGGTCTGAACTAAACTGGTCTTACGATAGAAACAGTCTTAGGTACGTCTTACATTACCTTGCTATATTGTATAACAAATATAAAAATATTCATTTTTTGTTAGGTAGGTAGGTACTACGATATGCTAGACAGTCAACCTCATGTGATATTATTGAAATATATTACATTAAGCCCTTAATTTGTATCCTATACAACGGGTTTTTGTGATTATCAATACTGTTTGTGAATCTGTATTCTGTGCCAGATCCCATTTAAATTACAATGAGAAGGGGGCTATGGGGGCGCGACAATTATTAATGTATAACTGAATATCTGCGTTTCGCGTGGAATTTCACTGTTCCACGGAAAATTTATTAACATCTGATGTTTTATTTGCGTCACCTTTATTGCAAGCATATAGGTAGTTGAGTTTATATCAGCATAGGGCGATAGTGTTTATAAATTTGACTTAAAACTACATTACTTTCTGTGCAAATTTTAGTGAAAAGTAATTTTGAAAGCCGCAACTTTGATGGTTAGTTTTATCTATGTTATTTTATTTGTATGACTATTATTAGTTCTAAGTATATCTTTGGGGACTTATCTAATATGAAAGCTGTAACTAGTATATAATCAGCTAAAAACACAAGTCTGTACTTTTGTCCGTCTATTTAAATTTTAAATATAATTTTTCTTCAAAACTCATTATTGACTTGTTTTCATAGCTGTCTATTTAAAACTATTTTTGCGAATGCAAAATTTCAACCAAAGCCATTTAAAGAGAGATAAATCACACAATTTTAGTTTATTTTTTGTTGTTATTAGATAGATGTTGGCATTTTCTCACTCTGTCATTGTTTTTTTTAGCTTTATAAGTAGGTATCTTTGACAAATAGGAAATTTAAAACTACTTAAAAACAAAACACGACTGTGTTAACCTTCTAAGTATGAGATAGATATCCCTCCATAGAATTGCGATCTTATAGTGTATGTATTCTTTGCTTCGATATCTTGAGTGTTACAGGGTGAATGGTAGCACCCGCGGGGTGGGTGGGGGGACGGTGCGAAGGGATCGGGTAAATGAGAATTCCGCAGAGACGATCAATTCGCGAAATGTTCACATTTCGTAAACGTCTCAACTTCGGCTAGTGATGTGCAATTGTTCTTTATTCAAATATAAGACGTGCTGAATGGTGTAATAATAAACACTGTCTGTGGTTTACACGAGTACTACACATTTTAATTTTAACTAATATATTTTGCGTTTTAAACCGTTAAAGTGTTTTATTTAAATTTTAATCCTTGTTATAAACCAATACAGACAGTTGTAAACAGTCGTAAAGTTAAATTTGAATTCAGTTCATTCATTTGAGTCTGTAGGTATATTCCTGAATGTCCAAATCTCATTTAAATAAAACATTTTTAACGGTACGTTTTCACGCCGTATTTCAAATAAATTGTACTACAATTAAATAATACATTTCAAGTTTTAAACCTTTCAAAGTGTTATTTTAATTTAAAGAACAATCTATAACAGTTCTGTAAGTCGCGCCTCCTCTTTTACAAAAATCATCGACACGTATGTTTTTTATCGAGCATCGCCAAGTTTGCCACTTCCCTATAGAGCGTGGGAGCGAGCAAATATCTTCGCAAAGCGTTAAAATGAAATGTTCGCAATTTGAATATCTTACCTCCCCCTCACCCCGCTCCGCCGGAGTCGACTGTGCCCCCTATATTGTTCTACTTTGAGAAGACTCGAGTGTTTTGTTCAGTTATTTAACTGAAGTTCTGTGGCTTAAAAAGGTTCTGCTAAATAGAAGTAAGTAGATAGTTAGTAATTAATGTTTATTTCGTATTTTCCTGTGTTGGTATTATCGTCCACAGCTGATGATGTGGACTGATCACCCGGCCTTCTATGGGTGTCCACGATAACAAATAATGTTAAGCAAGTAAGTAATTAATTAGCAAAACATATAATTTTGTTACAACATAGGTATATAACCTAACTCAAAATAAGTGTAATAATAAAATAAAACAAAAAAGATATTTGGAGTGCACGGGTAGCCTTATATCTATAGAGCAATCTCTATACGGCGACCCAGGTTCGAAAATAAAATAAGGTTCCCAATTCTTGAAAATTTGCCAGAATTAAAAAGCTTATAAACTAGGTTTCAGAATAGGACAAGATGGAGGACGAATGGAGATGTAAAGAAAACAGTAGACAGAGACTGGCAATAAATAGTAGATACAGTCCGTACTTACGATCTATCTTAGTAGTGTGGTAAGTAAACCCACATAAGTGGAATTGTAGTTGCGTTAATTTGGGTAAATTAATGTGTAATTGTAATAAATGTGTGTGTACTTTATTCGACCTCAACTAAAATGTTGCAGGGGTTCGAACTCGGGACTTTTTGCGATAAACTGAATGCAATAAAAGTAGGTTCTTAACGGTACGGTCACTAATAAATAAATAAAGAAATATTTTATTCGCATATATTCAGATCAGCACATGTTTGAAACTGAGGTACAGTAAAGAAAGAAAAATAGTAGGCACACTTTCCCACTGTATATAAGAAAAGCTCACTTAATGAAGTGGGGGCGGTACTGTGTCGTTACAGTTTCGACCAATCGCGTCGCTTGCTACTGTTGCTAATCTCCCCATTGGTTACAGTTCTGAAACATGAAATTCAAATGCGATTTTCAAATGCACATTGGATCTTGTACATATTCTGACACTAAAAACGCTAACTTAGTAGTGAGTTCAACACCCGCCTTTGTCATCTTATTTGTTTATCTATACGAATATTATAAAGCTAAGGAGTTATTTGTTTGTTTCAACGCGCTAATCTCAGAAACTAGTGTAACAGGTCTTTTTTTTTATTTTATACCCACGACGTCGATCGCGTGCCCTCCCGACGCCTGTATCTTCACTTGTATTAGTCACAGGGCGATGTTTTATAGCCTATAGCGTTTTATAGCCGCCCTCGATATACGCTCTAACCAACCAAAAATAAATTTTTCAATTCGAATCCGTAGGTCCTGAGATTAGGGCGTAACAAACAAACAAACATACTCTTCAGCTTTACATATTAGTATAGATAAATATGGTTTATATAACTGATTGTGTAATAATGATTTAGTGTAAAATTGAGAACTGCATTTATAATTTACTGTTCACTCATAATGTATAAACATTTTTCTATACGCAATACCAAACACTGAATGATAATCGCGGCCTAATTTAAATTAAATATCGGATACAATTGTTTTTCAGGCTGTTAGGCCGACGTGACCGAGAAGAGGTTCATCATCAGGAGACGTTAGCTCCTTGATTGCTCGAAGACTTATGATTAATATTTTTTCGCTCACGTCGGCCGAACAGCACGAATAAGAAAGATATGCTGCACGATGGCTGTGAAAGCCTTACACAATTTATAAAATAATCGCGTTTAGATTCCACCAGTTTTATTAGTTCAACCACTTCATATCTAGTTTGTATACCACAATCATTAAATACTACTGTTTAAGATCTAGAGTGGAACTTGCATACAAAAACGATTCTGATGCCATTTTTTCATCAGCACCATCTTTCATCAGTCGAAAATTAGAAAGATCCCGACGAAAGCCTGAAAGCAATGGTGATTATGTAAATATTTGGGGAAATATTGCCTCCGGGTTTATCGCAGTCCCGCTGACCAACAAAAACAGAAAATATCGCCAACCGTCTGCCGCTCGTATTTTTCACTTTTACTGTGACGCCGAGTGCGCTTGATGGGGCAGCTTCCTGCCGGCCAATGCTAGTGATGTACCTTTGTATTGTGGATGAATTTAAAACGATCAATCGTTAAAATCGTCCGCAAGGATCTAGAACCAAATACAAACTAAGAACATGTCGCTAAAGAACAATAAAAAATTTTGAAAATAATTTAAAATTATCTATTGCCTTAAGGTAGGCCTTTGATCTGCTAATCAATATTTAACATTAATCAAAATTTATAAATAATATAATAGGGAAAAATAACTTTAAGTAACTAAATGAAAGGCCAGGACCATGAAGTCACACAGTATTCGTGGTTTTAAAGCCCTTAATTTCGTGCTTGTAACAAAGTAGATAGGTATGTATGAAGTATTAATATCTCAAAACCCCCCCCCCCCCCCCCCCCCCCCCCCCCCCCCCCCCCCCCCCCCCCCCCCCCAAAATTCGTTTTTAATAGGTGTATATGATTTTAAAAATATCGATAGATTTTATAAATATAATAAATATGGATAGGTAAATAGCTTGTGACGTACTTACCTAGTAATAAAGTATAATATAATATTTATCGATAAAATCGAATCCGAGCTACATCACTCGGACTTAGGTTTTTTTTCTTTAACCCGTTTGTTAGGGTTTGAGCAAGTCGTGTGCAGTTTTTCGGGACTCGAATGACCAAGCAATTTGTATGAGCCGATGTTTTTATTCGAGCCGTGATTGACGGCCTACCGTGTACCTACCTAGTACCTACCCTCACTTTCTTATTTTAGTCTGCGGGTATAATTTTATTTCTTCATAAAATAAAATTATCGAAAATCGGTAGGAGCAGTCTTTTGTATTGCTTTAAAACGAAAATGTCGATTCATTAATATAATAATCCCTTTAGTTTACAAGATTTATTTAGAATAGGAATAGTCATATTTTTACTTTTGAAAACATTAATATTATTTACATGTTATTGCTCATGAAGGAAGAATTATGAAAAAATTAAGCTGGCTATATAAAACATTAATTAAAATGTCTATTAAATAAAAATAATTTATAATTATGCTAATAATTAGCATGTTAACAGAAATGACTGCTGCTATCTCTTGTTCAATATTTGAAAGCCACAACATAGGATATACAAGGTCAAACAATTAATATTATCAGTTGACGATAGATGGCGTATATGTAGGTACGTTTATATTTTATTTTCTACTAGACGCTAGATGTCACTATTTCTCTATTATCATCAAGCAAGATAATAATATAACCACCTATAAAAAACAGCGGCATGTCATTAGGGTGAATTAAAAAGTTTCTCGCAGTACACTAATAAAACCTTTCAATCCAATGCATAAAAATTTGTAACTTACTATCCTATATAATGTCAAATTCGTTCATCGCCTCATCACTTGGAAGACTATTTTTATTTTACTATTTTAATTATTAATACGGGCAGCGACATCATATTCAAAAGCAGACAAACAAACAAAAATATCCCTTTGCATATAAATTCTTATATGACACGACACTCCTTTATATTATACAATTTATTTAATTCTTTATTGCAAGTTGCAACACACACAAACACAAAGTATAGATACATGTTTCCTTAAAAAATATTCTTAATAATACAAGTTATAACGATAAATTATTCTTACAAGTTATAGAGTGCAATGGGCGGCCTTATCGCTACAGAGCGATCTCTTCCAGACAACCCTTGTGTAAAATAAATAAGATAAATCATGGGAATGTGCAGGTCATGTGAAGCTTAACAATTTACTAGCTTATTATAAATTAATTAATTAAAGGGCGGTTTATTTTTATGAACAAAAACCTAATTCGAACTACAGGAAAATTATCATGTTCATATATCGACCTTAGAATTGTTTATAACTTCTACCACGCATTCCACGTGACTAAATCAAACAAACAATTATATTTACAAACTCTTTGGTAGAGTAAGAACAACATCCAACTTTCATTATCAAGAGAACAGTTTCTATGAACGGTACCTACAGCACCTTTTTATTTAAATGAGGACGTACTGGATACTCGACAGAAATCATTATAAAGGTACGATAAAGGCTTTTAGAATTCGTTTACTCTTCGCAATTTTATGTATGGTCCATATAATAATCGTTAATTTCAGAATGAACGCACAAATCTACCTCCTCATCACAACTATATTAGCTTCGAATGCGAAAATTCTAAGAAACAATGCGCTCATGTCGAAAATGGTCTCCAACTTCCACAAAGACAACGACGTGTCCACAACGGAACTGGGCAAATCCCAACCCGTTTTACACAGAATGCAAAACCTCCTATGCAAAAACTTTCCGTCCATACCATGTGAATTGATAACTCAAGATGCAACGTTACGCGGTCTCATAGAAAAATCAATCCAGCAGATTAATTACAAGAAATTACGCATGGAGAAAACGACGATGTCGCCGCGGTATTTGGCACTGTTTCCAATAATTGACAGCCGGGATCTAAACTTCGAGCGTAAACCAAAGCAGAGGAAACACAAATACAAACATAAGGACCGCAATTTGTACAGCCGGAAGAAGATCCGCAAGTTCTACCCTCACAAAGTAAAATACAAGGACAAGAATGTTAAGAATTTCGGCGACTCCGACGAGAAATTGTCTATGTCCGTTGAAGTACCGGATGCGACGCAACAGAGAAAACATCAGCGGGTCACTTACAAGGTAGAAGGCGACCAGCCGATATGGAGAATCGATTATATGAAACACGGAGAACCGAGCATCAATATGTTCGGTTATGAAGATAGGTTGAAGGATAAGATCGTGAAATCTGGTCAGGACGTTGTAATGGATGATTTGGAGAGAAAAGACGTATTACATCCAGATGTTTATATTAAAAAACGTAATTTCGCAAGGAAGAACCTAGATCTTAATGATGATATATAATATCTTGTATACGTAATTTTAGAATTTCGTTGAATTAGAAATACATAAATTTAAGATATATACTTATTCATAAAATCAATGATAATAAGCATAAAGTCATAGAAAGCACGAGAGACTTCAGTTTATTTTTGGGTACTAAAATTCACCACAAACCGAGCGGTGAAATAGTGTATAGTCAAAATAATAAACATTCTCACAAAGATAACGTTATCTATCAGTACTATAAAGCAGTGAATACACAAGAACAAACATGTTTAATTATAGCATAAGTATAGTTAACTCATTAAGTGTAGTAATCAACTAATTAGCGCAGAATTAAAAATATTAGTCATGTTTATACACACACTACACAATACTTAAAATGCCTTTATAAGTAAATAACAAATAAATAAGTCTATGATAGTGTAGCCTCCCCTCTACATCGTTTATAAATTATAAATTCGTCAGCATTGTAACTATTCATTGCATAACTCCGACCGGTCGTGCATCGTTCGCAATAAACAAAAATGTCTAGGACCGTCTTATCCACCCACGTGCTGGACACTTCTACAGGAAGACCTGCTTATGGCATTTTTGTGGAATTGTACAAGAAAAAAGACGATTCGTGGGTACTGTGGCATAACACGGCGACATCTAGTGATGGAAGGGTACAATTTCCGTTTTCTGAACAGTCGATGGCGCCGGGAACCTACAAGTTGAAATTTAATGTTGAAGATTATTATAAGCAAATGGACAAAAAAACTTTATATCCTTTCGTGGAGGTTAGTAATTTAGTAAATGTTTAATTGGTGTTACAATGAGCACGAAACAAGATAAACGTACAGTAATAATAATCATTTAAGCATGAATTTAAAATTATCTTTAAAATATTCTGATTGCATCGTATCTTGCTCGTAAAAATCGATATCAATGTTATTCTATAACGAGTATATATAAAATTATACTAGTAAGCCTATACTTTATTTTAAGTTGTTAAATAACACGCTAAAATAAAAGTTAAGCTTCAAGGTACCTATCATTTTTCTAATAATTTTCAACTTAATTATTTCAGATCGTCTTTAATACGTCAGAAGGCGAACACTACCACATTCCACTGCTTCTTACTCCCTATGGTTATTCAACTTACAGGGGAAGTTAATTCTTCTTCAGAAACTTCCTACCAAAAACTTTGATTTTGCATAGGCTAGACTACGAATACACGAAATATTACGTAAAAATGATCTGATTTTAATAAATACATAAAACATTTTCAACAAGACTATTCTTTAAAATCCTATATAAGGGTTGGGTTTCAGTAAAAAGACAAATAAACTTAATGTTTTATTCAAAATATTTAAACATACATACATAATAATAATAAAACAAAATTGAGTATAATATCAAATTTGACCTACAATGTATTTGAAAAAACAATGTTTCTACCGGCGTTATTCTTTACTAACGAAGAATCACTTAAATCTACGAATGAATAGAATATAATGGGAAAAATTAAAACTAAATTAAATCCTTTGTTGGAATTATGAAATGCGTTATATAGTCTGAAGTAATAACAAAAAAATACATTATAAAACTATCTTATCAAACTAATTGACATAATTTTTATTACTATTTGTTCGTCTTTCAATAACATCTGTAACTTCTTAAGTCGTTACTGAGTATATTATTAATATCTATTGAGAAGAATTATATTAAGTCCTATGCTATTAGTGTCTTTGTTATAATTACAACTATATACAATGTTATTTTAAAACAAAAAGTTTGGAATTAAGATTTGTGAAATTAATTTACCCTACAAAAATGTAGAAGAAATAATCCTTGTAGGCAAATTTCCTTCATATTATTTAAGAAAACCTGTATGATCCCTTTAGTTGTTAATTCATACTATGTAGTGTCATAGTGTCGATTGATGGCAAGTCAATACATACATATCACTTAAATTTAGCCTAAATGCCTAAATACATTATGCAATCATTCTGTATTGGCACGATGCTGGACCTCCACTGGTTCTGTAAGGTAAATAGTCACAAAAATCAGTTAAGCTCAACCAATTTGCACATACACCAATTTCTTGAGCACAATATCACAGTTCTATCACAGTTCATACATTATCCGGAATTGTCCACTTTCTCCAATGTCTAGTTTACCTAAAACTGTACTAAAAAGAAAAATTTTGGTTCTTCCTCCTTCTACTATACCTGCTAGGACCTGTTGGAAAAATCTGATTAAGGTAGATAGTTGTAGAAATTAGTATACACTTACCAAGATGCATTGAGCACATCTTAAGGGCTGGCAGAATCATGGAGGCAGCATATCTATCATGAGTACAGAATCAAACGATTAGACAAAAATCTTTAAAAACACCCTTGTCCAATCGAAAGAAATATTTTAATTACATTTTAAAAGATTTCATTTATGGATACATACAAAATGAGTATATATTCTATTAGTTATCTTTAGTAATTGCGCATAAATATTTTGTACAGATAATCTATACAAAAAACATGAAGCAATAAAATAACTACTTTTATTTTTAATAACCAAGTATTAGAAATAAAATAAATAGTAAATTTATTTATTTAACTGTCATTGAAGTTGTCATTTAAATTAAGTGTAGAAAGGAAAATCAGTTTATGAACATGGAGTAAATTGTTTTAATTCATTAGGATAAAAAAATTCACTGACTTGATGTCCACCTGAAACAAAAAAGCATTAATAGAAAAAATAAAATAAAGCTCACCTAATCTCCCTCTTCTTGAATAACTTCCTTATATCTTGCAATCATAAGTTTTTTAACTGTGTCTCTATAAGTAAGCCCAGGTGTTGGGGTATAAATTCCCCATTTTTGTCCCAGTCCAGCTAAGCCTGCTCTCTGTTGAGCTTCAATTGGTGCTATACGGCCTTGTTCCTCTTTGCCTAAGCCTCTACCTTCCGACCACCCCATTTTTTGTAACATTTTCCCCCCAATTGTATCAACAACGGGTTGAGGTGCATGTGCAAATATTGGAGTTTGAATATCTGACTCATAAGAATTACGCTTACGAATAGGTGGCTCATCTTCGCCAAATTTCATTCTGCGTTCTGCAGCCCTGTCTCTATAACCATTTATTTGTGGCATCAAATTATTTTTCTTTTGATGGTCCAATAAGTTCTGTTTATGTAAATCAGATAAGTTTTTGTGCTTAGTTAAAACATCAGCTGACGGAAATCTTCTTTTACAAATTAGACATGTCAGTTTTATCCAGTCTATAATCCCCTCATCAGAATCAAATTGAACCAGTTCAGGTCTTTTGATCAAGAAATCATCATTAGTAGTGGGTGGTGAAATTTCTCTTACATGGGGGTGATGTTGCAAAGAGGGCCCTGCACCAAGTACAGAGAAACCAATATCAGCAGACCCTTTACTAGCTGAATGGTCTTGAGGTTGCTCCATCACGATATTACTACGAGCATTTTCTTTTTTCTGATTTAAGGTCCGTGCCCATCTTTCCATATCTTTTGCTATCTTTTTTGCAACTTTTACTTTATCCTCTTTGTCCTTCTTTTTCTTTTCCTCTGGTTCCTTGGGAATTGTATTCTCAGAGGTAGCTTGTGGAGGGTTCTGTAATTTTGGCTGATTTGTATTCTGCTGTAATTGAGTAGCAGCTATATAGGTAGACTTAGCTGCATCCCAGTACATATATTGACTGGTCTGACTATTATAAAAGTACTGAGTGGTTCCATCATAATATAACCCTGTGGCTGGATCATAATAATAACCAGAGGTTTCATCATATAAGAATGTTCTCACATCTGGGGCGGTATATTGTTTTTTTCCATCACCAGTTGGTATATTGGCTACTATGGGGTTTTGAGTTGTGGATGTTACAAATACAGGGACAGAAACTGGTGTCCATGATACCTGACGAGCTTGTGCAGCTGTAATAGCAGATTGAGCAACGGCTGCTGCAGCATTTACCCTATCAGCTTCTGATAATGTTTGATTTGCACTAAAGTTTGTCATATTATTTTGGGAATAGTATGAAGAGTAATCAGAACTAGCTGTGGTTTTTGGTACTTTTTGAGGCTCATTATAAAATGATATCAACACATCCCTACCATCAATGTTCAGAGTAGGATTCAAACCTAACAATTCACTATGAGCTGCAGTAGAATCAGCTATGGAGTTAAAGTTAATATATGCTAAACATTTTGAAGCTCCTGTTAATGTTTCCCTACCTATGGTAATACCAGCTATTGAGTCTAAAACAGATTTAGAACATCTCTCTTTAATAGCTTCTAATATTTTTTCTTCAGTAGTTAAAGCATCTAGGCGTCTGAACAAAAGACGCTTTGTAATTCCCATAGTTGAATCCGACATATTCCTATCATCACTATCTACAACAGAACCTTCTGTCCTTTTCCCATTACAATTTCTCCTATAACAGATTTGTCGCCTCTTGAAATTGTAAGAACCACATTTGCATATCCAATCACCAGGTGAAGTTGATTGTTCTTGTGGGTCGTGGTCGAAGTCTCGATCGTTACTTCTAGATCTACTTCTGGACTGGGACCTGCTTCTGTCTCTGGATCTATCGGAACTGATTTTTGGTGGAGACGGTGGATTAGGAATCTCCTTATCTTCAAAACGCCGTGGAGACCGCCGACGATCACGATCACGTTTCTCATAACGGTCGCGACTATCGCGACGGTAACGGTCGAAGTCGCGATCGCGGCGTTCGCGGTCATATCTATCGTGGCGATCACGACGATCCCTGGTTCGATCACGTGGTGAAGTTTGACGACTGCGGTCTGGGCTAGTACTTTTCTGTAATTCCCAAACGGGTGAACGTGGTCGGTTTTCGCCCCAGCGGCTGGGGCGTTCCTCTCGACGCCATGACATTTCCTGTGAACATCGAGAGAAATGAAGCAATAAAACTCACAAACCGTTGGACGCTTCTGGGCCCACGCCTCGCCACTTCTATCGTGACCATTCTCTCCATTGCTGTGTACTTTTTACCTGCGTCGATTGTCCCAGTTAAATTAATATCCGATGCTTATAATCTTTAACTATATAACTTTTCGACTTTGAAAGTTTAACATAAATTAATTTATTTTAATCAATTATTCACATAAACAATAGTTGATCTTGTAAGTGACAAATGATTCAGCCTTTCCGCATTTATCTATCTCCATTCGCCATATTGAATTTTGAAAATGTAAAAACTAGGGATGCTCGATGAACATCGATATTCGATGATCATCGATATTCCACAATCATTAATATTGAAAGAAAAATCATCGATGTTTTAATATCGAGATTACCATACGAAAAATATCTCAACATTGACGTCAACTTACGGCCTCACCTCATGACCAAAATTACTTTTCCAACAGTCATTTAATAAAAAATATAGGGCTATTTAATAATTTGATCCGTTGCTGAATACATTTCGAAGTTATACATTTTTTTATTTCTTAGTCAATTAGCAATGTAAAAATTATCGATGGATCCACAATCGTTGTTCGGTTTTCGATAAATATCGAACATCGATGTTGAACTTTCGATTATGTCATCGAGGTCAACATTGATGTTTTTGAATATCGATCATCCTTAATATAAACGCACAGACGTAAAAAATATATGCAACTTGCCACAGAATATTCAATGCTAAATACGCAGAAAAACATTCAATATTGCCAGGTGCCAAATCAAAGACAAAAAATCTTATTTTTTTCTTAAAACCTTTTAAGTTTAAATTTAAGACTTAATGTTTCCTTTTTTTAGTTAAAGTTATATTTACAACGAGGACAAATTGTTGTTAAAAAGCCTATAAATTACAATTTATTGAATCTGCAAGAGACAATTAATAATCATATTTTTATGGCTTTTTTACAATCTGTGGATGCGATGCGATGTTTTGTTCCCAATTGTTGGTGACTGTAGTCTGTAGCTGTTGTGTTTGTTGTTGTTGTGTGTGTTTGTTGTGCTCCTATGAAGTTAGTTGTTTGTTATTTTTTATACGATGTAGATCCAGAAAAACTGGAATATAAGAGTTGCTGAACCTCCACATTGAATAAAGTTAATTTCCAGCGGGGCTTGTGTGATTAGATATTAACCATAGTTTCTAGTGCATTTACATATTATGTTAATGGCAAATTGGTGGACCCGTGCGGAATTGTTAGTAGGTATGTAGATCAGATTATTATAGTTTTATCTTGATTTCCTTCATACATAATTTTTTCAAGTCAATGTCTAGATAATATAGCTTGTAACTTGAAATTTTAAAGGCGAGCATGAGGGATGTGCTGCATCTCGCATGTGGCGCAGTGCTTGTTCAACTCTTGTTGTGCCGCACTCAGATCGAGCTTGGGATGAGATCTGTTCTGCATCACCCCCAGACTCGGTCTGGCATTCACTGAGGAACTGTGTTGCTTATCAGGTACATATAATACAATCAAAAATTACTATACAAAATACTGAATAATAAGAATCATGAATTTGTGCTTTTTAATGTACTTGTAAATGTTAACACATAAGCAATTTCCTTTTTCTACCATCCAATATCGGTTTTCAGGCTGGTATATGGCAGAGTTTACTGCTAAAAGGCATGGATGATGTAATACAGCCCGCTGCATTTAAACTGGCAATTGTATTAAGACACACACCATCAGAACTTACAGTGCGGCTGCTGGCTGATATGCTGCGGTTACATCCACAATCAGTATGTTTTTAAAAATATAATATGATAGAAGTAGTTTACGCGAATAGTACACATTTCACTTTAAAACAAATTTTTGACAATTAATTTAAAATCTTGGGTAATACATCTAATAAAACACGTAAATTTTACTTAAATAGGTAACTAAGTACTTATTACGTAAGTAACTACGACAACTACCTAACACATTTTGCGTTTTAAATCCTCAAAAGTGTTTTATTTCAATATATGGTTTAATACGAAAATCCAACTGCAGAAGCTGAGTTTTAAAATGTATATTATCAAATATGAAAGAATTAGTACATTTTAAGGTTGAATTGTTTACTTGTATTTTTATAAATAATGGGATTTCTTCCAATAGTACCATAACTTTCTTGCAATGGTCATTTTGCAACATATTCCATGTTTTTAATATTTTATTATTTTTATTCCAGCAAGATTTAATGTCATATGTCCTATCTCTTCTAACTGATGACTCACCTTGGTGTGGCTCTTGTAGGGAGTCAGATGAATCAGGGGAAGGTTCGGGAGAAAACATTGCGGGGGAAGGAGCACCCTTAAGGTAATGACATTTTTTAGAAACTTTAGCTTTAGAAAGAAAAGCTTATACTATTACATATTACATTGCTGGTAAATAAGTTTTTTGTTGTGTTATGCTTATGAAACATTTCTATACATATCAAACTTAAATTCTTGCCACTTTTCAAACTTATTACTAGCGTAAATGATCATTAACTTGTGCCGGTCCGAACTATATGGTCAGTTTTTAGTAGACCTGGCTTTTAGTTGGTGGTTTATGACATAGAGTTGCATAACATATTTAACAGAGATTTGCAGTTATTCGGTGACTGTGAGCTTGCTGTGCTTGCTGCTTCACGTGAAGAATACGATGCCCACGCGAAGCGACAACGCGCAGAGTACAGCGCGATAACTCAACAACACTATGTTGAACTACGGATCAAGGTTAATTGTTCTGAATCATGGTGGACTTCGTCTGGAAATCTGGTGGTAGGAATATCGAAATTCCGCCCAGGTTGCTAACCACCGTCCACAGATGAAAAAGCCGTAAAGCTTAATCGCGTTTCGGTTTTACTCTGTGGATTACCGAATATCCAAAGCCAAAATAGGATGACAGCGCAGCTAGTGTAGATGTTATATAGCTAGGGTATTTCACGTACCATCAAGGGAACCCTATAAATGTAGATAGGCCACAAAAATGTGTCCAACCTAAAGTCTGTAGATGAAATTAAATTTTAGTAAAATAAAATACCTGAATATATTTCAATAGAAATTTGAAAATGATTTTGATTCCGCTCCTAATGATCTTTAGACTTTGCAGATATTAAACCAGTTGGTGCAAACCCCAAAGATCTACCAGACACCTGAGTTTGAGTGTTTCGAGGCGGCTGCGAGAGAAAATGTGGAACGAGAGATTTGCACACTGCGAGAGCATTTACTCACCGGGAGACATGACTAGCAATAGTGGGGGAGGGAGAGTGGAGGTGGGTTCTGAACTAAGTAATAAGTACAAGACTTGTGCTAATTACTTGATATAATCAACTTATGTTCCGACTAGGACTTTGATTATTTCTATTATATAATTACATATAGGAATTAAAACAATGCGACACGATTACCTTCAAATTGATTTATTAAAAAATAGACATAGCAACATTATATTAAATTACAGTTTCAAATAAAATACGTTTAACGGTTTAAAACGCGAATTGAAGTCGCGAATGAGTCCGAGTGTATGTAGCCGCACTTATAATAAATTGTAAATTGTTAATAAATACATGTCTCGTTTTAAACCGTGGTTTATTTAAATGTGTTTAGTCGCGTAAAGTACAGACGTATTGTCTTGCATTGTGATTACACTTAAAAAAATATAATATGAATGATATTAATACTGCATAGGGTATAACTCGTCCCATACACGCACTTTGTCTTCGAACAGATCTTTTCGCAACGAGAAACCATTGTCGATTCGCAAATATGTCTTGTCGTTTGGTGTCATTTTTGGCCATTTCAAATCTCCCAATTCTGGTGTATCGCCTTTAGGGTTTGGGTCACTGAAAAAAAAAAATATAAATATATATATTATTGCTAAATGTGATTATTACCAGCGAAACACGACAAAGCAACAACGTAGAACATTGTGATCGTGGGTTTGAGTCCCCGCCAGTGACAACTTAAATAGGCTTAAAAATTCTCAATTTACAAACCACTACAAAGTTATATTTTTTGAAATATTAAAGTTTTTATAATTTAAGAATTAAGTTGATTTAGATTTCCAAAGAAAAAGAGAATTTAATTATTAAATAAGGTAACACTTTGTTAAAATGTGTTTATCAAACTTCTTTTAGACTCTTCCTGCCCCGTAACTGAAGAAAGTGCGAGCTCCGATTCGCAACAGGAATATTATGAAGAACGGTCCAGTTTTGCAGAAATTAAAGAAGAAAATACATAAGGAATATGTGCGAAATAAAGGACTTATAGGTAATAAGTTTATGAAAGTTAATATAAGAATATTTGTACATAATGCAGACATTTATCAGTTTCTGATTAAAGTTTTTTATTAATAAGTAAATTATATGTTTTTTTAAATGACATTTTATAAACTCTTTGTACGCATTAATAAAAGTCTCCTTGAGATCAATCTTTAGCGGTATTCTATATCTAACTCGAAGGACCAAATCGGGCATAAACGGGTCATGCTTATTCATGTATATGTCCTGTTATTTTGTTTTTGATTGTAGTAATTATCATATTAAAAGTTATAGCTTAAGTTATGTAGCTGTGTTTTTGTCAAAATGTATCTTGTCTTCTTACCCATATCTAGCGAAGTTGTACCAAATGGCTGTCATTCGATCTACAAGCTTGGCATCTTGTCCCTCGGTTCCGATGGCAGGGAAACGATACGGTAGACTAAATAGATAGATCAACTCATCGTGGTGGGCAGCTCCTATAATTCAATAATTAAATGTCTAAAACTTTACTATAGTTCTTCTTGAAAAGCTGAATACCTTTACCGGTCCTTGTCACATCATTAAACCTCCCCCCATTAGTAAACGTAATACCCCCATTCATATCTAGATGTTTTAGAAACCAATGAAATGTCGCATAACGACTTTATTGTTTAAATTGATTAACAATGTACCTCATTAATTTAACAACCCCTTTTGTACAACCCCCTTAATCAGTGACGTCACATAATTTAATAATTGCCACCGAATATAAACTAAGTCGCTTACCTGTAGGTTTTTTGGTAACTGGGTCTTCGTAGTGACTGTGATTTCCGATGTAACCCCATTCGTACTCGTAGACTGGTTGGGGTGAGTGCAGGGTCATCAGTTTTGCCATTCTGAATGTTGAAATCGATTATTGAACTTTGGCATATATACACTGGGCTACACTACTCAACTTGAGGCCAAATACTTTACTTTTTTTGAAAATAAATTAGGTAAAAATTATTGTAACTCTCGCTCCTTTAAATAATAAAAAAGCTTAATTATAAATCAAGTTGATTTGTAAGTATCCAGATTTTGTAATAAAGAAACAGTTATAGGTATGATTTGTGTCTTTTTACATACAACTTTGTACATTTAATATATACTACATAATTCATCATCAATAAAAAGTGTATATTTCCGATTACCCCTAAAAGCAGTAGTAGTAATTGAAGTCCACTACTAAAAAATTACAGTCCTAGATAAGATAACATAAGATACATAATTTAATTTATCACAATCTGTAAATGATTGTGAAAAATTAAATTAGGTATCATGATCCCTCTAGTGCGTAAGCTTAGAAGTGGCGGCGAGTTTCTTGCCAGTTCTTCTAGTTCGTTCTACGTCCCTTGATTTGAGAACTGGTAGTTAGTGTACATTTAGAGTCTTTAGTTTTTAATTGACGTGACGTTCATAAGTGTACCCAGTTACCTACGTGAATAAATGTTTTTGACTTTGTCTTTATTTACCTGTATACTGGTAGACTTTCAACTGAATCCACGTAAAGTCTTCCTAAATCATGACCACTTCTCTCGTCGTTCTTCAACGGCCTGTCGTCTAGATATTCTTTGCGAAGTCGTTGCGTTGGCACCGCGGTGTTTTCACGAGGGAGTAGGAAGGAGATTGGGGCGATTCTCTCCCATTCTCTGTTCATCTGCTCCCGCAGAGTATCGTTTCGAAGTACAGCTAAAATGATGAAGAAAAACTAAAGCCTATGTGACTGAAATTCGATTGTGAACAGAAATTAATTAAAATGAAATAATATAAAATAAATTGATATAAAAAAGGTGATTAATGAAACTATAAAAAGTTCATGGTACTCACTGTACGCCATCCAAAAGAATTCATCTTGAGTCTGACTAATGAGATGGGGAACGGCGTATATTTTCTTTTCTCGTATAGCTACATCTGGCTGGATCGTCAAGAATCGTTCTTGTCCAAAATCTGGCTCCATAACAGCTGTCCATATACCCACTGGGTCGAAACCAAATTCCTAAATTAAATAAAAACATATTAACACCATTTATTATTATTAACGGTATAATTCAAAATTAAATCAAAAGTAGTTTTAACGCTGAATCTTATTTAATGCTAGCTGTTATTACTAGACCACAACGTCGTTCTTACGAGTTAATCTTAAAAAAAGTCACCTCGCGTTTTGCGTGATGGTCTATTAAACACCTATAGATTTTTTCATGTCGAACCAGTTGTTTCTGAAATGAGTTTAAACAGACAACTCGAAGCTTTATACTAATATATTTAGATTTTCACAAGTTTTAAAAATGATTATACCTAGTTTGAAAACACAAACGGCTCTTCAGTCCTTGACAACATACCCACAAAAAAAAAAAAAAAAAAAAAAAAAAAAAAAAAAAAAAAAAAAAAAAAAAAAAAAAAAACCCCCCCCAACAACGGGGGGGGGGGGGGAAAAAGGGGGGGGAAAATTTTAAGAACCCCCCCCCCCGTGGAAAAAAAAAAAAAACCCCGGGGGGGGGGGGGGGGGGAAGGGGGGGAAAAAAAAAAAAAAAAAAGGGGGGGGGAAAAAAAAAAGGGGGGGGGGGGGGGGGGGGGGGGAAAAAAAAAAAAAAAAAAAAAGGGGGGGAGACCCCCCCGAAAAAAAACCCCCCCCCCCCGGGGGGGGCCCCCCCCCCCCCCCCGGGGGGGGGGAACCCCCCCCCCCCCCCCCGCAGAAAAAAGGGGGGGGGGCGGGGGGGAAAACCCAAACCCCCGGGGCGGCGCCCCGAAATTTTTGGGGGGCGCGCCGGTTACGGGAAAAAAGTTCCCCAGTGTATCCGGGGCTTTATACCTACAACATAACCTGCCGTTATCTGGGTGTGGCCAAATCATTTGTTTTTTTTATTGTAAGTGCATTTTCAACGTACGTTATATGAAACTTACATAGAAGCCATATAGCGAGTCGCCAAACTGCCTCCAAGGTTTAGTCTTCAAACAGTCGATCATCGCTTTATTACTGTCAGTAGGACATTTAAACAGCTCGGCTTGTCTCACCGCCAGATAGCGCTGGTCGCTCGCTAGTGGAACCTTCCCGATAGGAGAACCGCTCATTGAAATTGCACGTTTGAAAAGACCTAAGAATAAATGTGATTATTTTAAAGACTACTTAGTACATCATTTATTTATTAATTCTAGCTGCACTGTTACGCGAACTGATATAATAGAGGTTAAATCATACTATTAATATTTTTCACATACACGTGATGGCACTATATAGATTAAAAATCGATTATAAATAAAAAAAAAACAATAATAATAAGGAAGTGTTAAAGTTGAATTTACATTGCGCTAGATGTGCATGCAAGCACAAGCATTAGAGCAAAAGCACGGAACGCTATGGATGTCGGAAGTCCTGCCCAGGTCGTAATTTTTTTTCATTTTATAATCGATTAAAAAAAACTTCATTCTTTTGAAGTACGACCATTGGATTTTGAATTAGAATGTGACTCACTTTAATGTGAGGATGTAGGAATGCTCATGGTGGAATGAGATGCAGGATCTGGTAGGTACATATAATAGGCGTAAAAGCACGCAAAGAAAATTGTTCAATTGAATACTGTATGACGTATTCCCGATTTTTATTATTTTTTTCTACACCGCTGTTAAAATAGCGAATAAAATATTTTATCGGGTCAGTCTAAGAGATTAGTGCATTAAATATCTGCAGCTTTATTATAATAGATGTACTAATAGAAATGCGAGGAGATATACATACACTAGAAGACATTTACAACTAAAGTAATGCAAGCTTATAGATTACCTGTAGACATTGGTGACACCATCATAAGCATGGCACTTATAGAGCCAGCACTGCACCCAGCTACTGTCACTAGATCAGGGTCACCACCAAACGGTTTTATGTTACGTTGAACCCACTTTAGGGCTGCCACCATGTCCTTGAACCCATTGTTTCCCGGAGCCAACTCGTCGCCTGTACTTAGGAAACCTGAAATTTGTAACAATTATCAGACAGTATTCTATTAGCAATTTAGCTTTCGTAATATAACATGTCTTTGGTAAATGCGTTTCAACTCAAAATATATTTATATCCCCCGTGACCGCGAAAACTGTAGAGCACCAAAAACGTCTGGCCACAGTAAAACACACACAACTTAAATTCTATTAGCATTTTACAAAATATGTGACTCTTACCAAGTGATCCCAACCGATAGTTGATTGTGACCAATACGACATCCTTATCAAGAAGATAGTGAGGTCCAGCCACGTCACTGCGTCCAGTAAAAGCGTAGAAACCGCCCGGGTGGATGAAGAATATGACAGGAAGCAATTTCTTTCTGTAAACGCGAAAAAACAGACTTTAACACCTGGTGGAGAACCAGGACCACGTGACATTTTTTTTTAATCTAAATACCCGATATTATGATCATTATAGCACAATTATTGGAATAGTTATAGATTATATATTTTCTATATCTTATATATTTTCCACAGGAAAATAGCAAAATATAAAAAATACATAACTCATTATGGAGTCATAAATAGATAATAAATATGCTTTGTACAAAAGAATAAAACCCGTATAGGTACGTATGCAAATAAAGTAAGACTAAGATGTGAGCTGACTTCTGTAAATTGATGCCTCCTTTTATTTGCTCCTAAAAAATATTTTGAGAACAGAAAAAGCTGTTTCTTACCTCGTTCTTCATTGGTTGTATGTATTCAAAGTATAACATTTATACATATCTAACCGGATAATTTAACAACTTGCAAAACAAAACACATCTTAAACGTAGGTATTATTGGACTTTAACATTATTGTTTCCTCAGTAATTCTTTTTTTTTAATTGTAAAAGACCTTTCTTACTAACTTATTTTTTTTTTAAATTTCATTTTCAGTCTTAAATTCGGTCCTGTAATCACGAAGTCCTTGTATTCTTTTGGTTTTGCCATTTGTATAACTATTACATTCGTTACCTGTCGCTCCTCAGAGGTGTATAAACGTTGACAGTGAGACAATCTTCGTCGACCGGGTAGTTGGGATCAGCAGGAAGTGGACATGCCGGGCCATCCTCACTTGCGTCGACTGGATCAAGGTATTTTTTAATCAATCTTGGTGGCTGTAACATGTATTTAGTTAAAACGTGTTGAATACTTACCACAATACCACTTAACTATGGCTTGCTAGTGTGTTAGATACACACAGAACAGATATTTTATTCGTATAAAAAACGATGTAATAATGTAAAATTAACAGAAATAAAACGTTAGCAAAGTTTGAAAGGAATAAGTAAATTATATTTGATTGACATACACTCTCACTAACTCATATAATTTGATCTCATAAGTATTATCTGTAGATTACGCGAGCATTAAATTTTAAATAGAAATAGTTTATACTGTGAAATTTATTAGTCAGTTATACAATGAGTAAGTATTATTTATCTATATGTTTTATTTCGCACCTGAAAACGTAATTCCCCGATAGGTGGCTCTGCGTATCGGATTCCTCGGTAGGTCTCGAAGCGACGTCCCTTCCTCGTAATGTTATACCCGCCTAGAAACTTGCCAGAACGAGTGCGAACTACTGGCTGTTGATCTGAAAAAAATCTTTGAAATTAGTTGGAAGACAAGCTTAAGTAAAAAATAATACTCTCTATTGCTGCTCCACATTTCTCAGCATGGATGAGATTGGACAGCGAATGCGTTAAGCGCAAGACCTGATTCAAATTCTGAGGACCTATTTAATAATCCGTAATTAAGTCCGTTCTAGGGCACATAAGTCTTATTAGCTATTTAGCTGCTATTATAATGGATCTGACCGCATACTGCATAGAAAGAAAACGAAAATCCAGTTTTGAACATTAATTTATTATTATTTTTTAAAACAATTCCAAATTTGTTATTTAATCTATTAAAAACCGAAGCAACATTTAAAATTATAGCAAGAAAATAACAAAAAATATGAACTAAGTTTATTACATAGTTTCATTTCTTTTCTTTTAATGATGGCTCTATAAATAAAATGTCACTGACCTATCCCATCATCGTCTCCGTGGTGGTTATGGTCCTGGTGACCGTGACCGTGATCATGCGCATTTTCGTGGTCATGCGAATGATGCGCGGAAGAAATGACCACAACGCACAAAATAATTATGACTTTCATTGTCCACGAGTTTTCTACAACTGAGCAACTCCGTTAATATTTTCCTTATATATTCGCGAGTGTTCTCTGGGTTGATTCTCTTAAAATTATGATATATTGATAGACATTTTAAAATATATTATATTACCGGAAATTATAAAACCTTTCAACCAACCAACCTACAATATTCCAAATTATAGACATTTGTAAGTTGTTGATTTTTGGGTTTCCTTGATAGTGAAACGTCGAGAATATAACTACAAGACGAAAATAAACAGTCTGTTGTTCCATAATAACGACTGCTTAATTTGTTTAATTATTAATAAATACGATTGTTTTTTTTGTAATAATACCGCGTCGTCTTAAACATAAAAATACTTATAATATTTCTAAAATTACCCATTCTGTGGTCACCCTAATAAACTTGTTTTCAATTTCGACCTGTTAAACGTCTGGTTGATTATTAAGTTAGTAAACAGTGTGTCACAGGTTCAAAAGATAAGAACTTATCTTTCTACATTTTCCTTAACTTAATAGCTCTATGCTGCGTTATTGAAGCTAAAGCTATCTATTTTTATAGAACATCGTCCGCGACTTTCTCCGTTTGGAAAAGTGCCTTTTGGCTGCATGTCAATATTTAAGGAAGAATGTAATTAAGTTCATTCTCATCCATTAAATTTCACGATACTTGTAGATTTAAATTTTCAAGTGTATTGTGTCTTCGTTCCTATTAGTAACATCGCGATGTGTTATGCGATAAATGCTCTACCCAACACAAAAATATTTTTTCCATTCAAACCAGTAGTTCCTGAGATTAGCGCGTACAAACAAACAAACAAACTCTCCAGCTTTATATATTAGTATAGATATATCATATAAGTACGTCGTATGTATGCAGAGTTCTAAATACCTTCTAGTAGTAGAATTGGAAATTTTTTCGGAGTTTAATTGATGATAATTAAGTTAGAGTGAAAAATTGGCGTCGTCCTTATTTACGCTTGAGGAAAATGAACGAACGATATTACTTAGAGGGAAGCCCGTCAGGTGTTCATACACTCAATGAGATTACTGATTACGTTTTCAGAATAAATTAAATCTTGTTATTGTTTTCAAAAACTAACCGCCGTCGCGGGTAGATTGCGCAAGCGACTCTTTGGGAGGTCTCGGGTCCTGGATGATAAATTAAGTTTAAACCGCATTCCAGTGCAATGCAGTAAGAAAAGGACTCACCGCCTGCCCCATAGGGAAATCGGAGTTTTATAATTTGAGAAAACATTTAAGTGACCTTAAGTGGAACTACTTTTTAAATAGAAAAGCAGACAATTTCCAAATATAAAGCAATGTTCTACTGTTAAAAAATTATATATTTCGTTATGTTCTATATATTTTTTCTGATAGAATTCTGAGCTTAAATTAATTATATAGCCATCTTGTTTGAAATTGTTAATATTTTGCATTTAATGACATTATATAAGTTAATAATAATAATAGTTCGACAATGCGCGAGAGGTTGTGTATCAATAGGCAAAAACATTGACGATGACGTGTAGATGACGGTGGCTCAATTGGCAACAGCACGGAACGCTGTGGATGCAGCTTCGAGTCACTCCCGCGTCGTATTTTGTTACAATATAAAATCAATTTTTAATTTATACCATGTTTTATGAATACGGCCATAGCTGCTTTTATGTACTACCAACTTAGAATAATAATGTAGTTAATGGTCTATATTACCGTATAGAAATGCTTATCGTGCACAACAAAGAGATCGCATATGCTTCGTCATGATATCGTAATTTTCCTTATAGTGTCGTCTCACACACGTAAATTAACCACACCTTAGTAAGTGTAAAAACCCTTGACACCTTTGTTTTGAAGACTTTATTCCTTAAATATGTCATCACATTATAATACCTAGGAATCATCACTATTATCTCTATTATATTTACATCGATTTTCAGTTTTTTTTTATTGAAAAGTGAATTTCGTCTTCGAGAAGTTCTTATTCTCTTATGTAGGAAATAAGTAGTGTGTGTTATGGTGGTATGCCTTTAGTAGGAGAAGCTTTGGGGAGCAGACTGAAAATGAGCGCTGTGCGATGCCATTCGTGCAGCATCTAACTGAGTCTGAATCCAGACGTGCTGCAATTTTTTTTTTATTTGTTTGTTTTTTTAGTTTTGTGGCATTAAGTAAATTGTTTTTTTTTTTTTATCTCTGCCACAATACTTTTTAAAGTGTTAATACTTAAAAAATTAAAACAAGTTATGTGTTAATATCAAGTTTAATGCACAATAAGCTAACGAATAAATCTATAAATTTTAATTATAATTTAGAGGGTACAACTCTTCCCACACTTCAACTTCCTCCTCTAAGAGGTTCTTGTCGAGGGAAAATTGTTTGTCGACACGGAGGAATGTTTTTTCGGTGGGAGTTGTTGGAGGCCAGTGAATGTCTTCTAACTCCGGTGTGTCACCACGATTATTTGGATCCCTATACAAGGCAATGTTATTAAGAATATCTAATATTAGTCAGCTAGATTGTAGACGATAACAAAAAATTGTTAATGATACGTTACCCATATCTAGCGAAATTGTACCACATTGCAGTCATTTTGTCTACAAGCTTAGCATCATCACCATCCCGTCCCACCGGTGGGAAACGATAGGAGATAGGAAATAAGTATATAAGGTCGTCATGGTGAGCAGCACCTAATAGATATATATTAAAATTAACATTTTCAACACATTAGCAGCTATACAAAAGGTTATAAATCAATTTCGATGTTTCTTTTAAAATTGGTTACTTTAGAAAGATAATCTTACCGACAGGTTTTTTATTCATCGGATCTTCATAGTGGGTATGATTACCAATGTAGCGGAACTCGTAGGTCCAGACAGGTTTTGAAGAATGTATTGTCATCAACTTCATTAATCTGTAAATGTAAAGGCAAAGTTACTGTAAATGTAAATACTGTCTATAGTTTACGCGAGTAGTACACATTTAAATAAAACACTTTAACGGTTTAAAACTCGATATATTAGTTAAACTTATTTGAAAATGATTTTTAACTTCGGCCCGACGTTTCGGATGCTTTGCAGCAGCCGTGGTCACGGGGAGACGTCAGCCGAAACGTCGGGCCGAAGTTAAAAATCATTTTCAACTGAGTTTATTTATTTATTTATTTAGCAAAAGGAAACAAACAGATACATTACATAAGTGGCTAGGGAATAACAATAAAAAATAAATAAGGTTAAAATGCATCCTTAACAGTTTCACAAATAGTTAATTGTTATATACAATATGAAAAGAACAAAACGTCGAAAAAATTACAGAAAATTAGACAAAATTTTAATAAGAGTTGACAAACAAATAAAATTAATTATACGTTGAACTAAAAACTATAAAACCGAAAAAAAAAACATAATTAAATTGAAATACCTAAGGCGAAATAAGCAATCTTTTTAATGTTTTTTTGAATGAAGCAGTAGAGGAGTGCAAAAACAAATCGATATCGGCAAAATGATCAAGGGAAGAACACATTCTGTGGAGTGGCGTGCGGAACCCGATATTGGTTCTAGGAGTAGGAAGGTTGAATGTTCTGTGCATGCGTAGAGGCCTGGCTGGTACATTAAATGGTATAAGCTCGAGAAGTTCAGAGCAAGTCAATTCGTTGACACATATTTTTCTAAGCGTTACACAGTCGATTAAGTGTCGTCTTTGGCTTAAGGAAAGTAAATTATATCGCTTAAGGAGGTCATTGTAGTGCTTGCCAGAAGCACCATTGAGGCGATAATTAAGAATTCGTAAGAATTTTTTCTGCACACCTTCTACTTGAGCCATGTATACAGCGTAAAATGGATTCCAAATTTGACAGGCATATTCTAATTGAGACTGCACAAGCATTTTATAAAGGTATATGTAGGGAGCTTCGTTTTTAAAAGGTCGTGTGACTCTTGTAATGAAACCTAGAATACGGTACGCGTTATTAACAACATAGTCTACATGCCTATCCAAGGTAAGTTTGGAGTCCAAAATGATTCCAAGATCTTTGATAAAAGTTACAGTATCTAGACAATGGTTCCCAAGAGTAAGTTTAGAGTCGATTTTGTTTTTATTTCTAGTAAATATAATATGATTGCACTTAGTATAGTTCAAATATAGTTTATTATGTTTGCAGTAATCAACGAATCTGTTCAGATCCTCCTGAATACAAAGCACGTCAGATGGTGAGAGAACTGTTTTGTATATTTTTAGATCGTCTGCATAAAGTATAAATTTACTATGAACGAAGCAACGTGATATGTCATTTAAAAATATGGTAAAAAGCAATGGTCCCAGAATGGACCCTTGTGGGACACCCGATGTCACTGTGACTTTAGAGGAAGTGAACCCATTTATGGCAACATGTTGAGTGCGATTACTCAAATATGCTGTAATCCAGCGTAGTAAGTTTCCCCTAATACCATTAAAAGATAGTTTTTGTAAAAGTATTAAGTGGTCGACCTTGTCAAATGCTTTCTTAAAGTCCGTGTAAATTGCGTCTATTTGTTGTCTGTCATCTAAACAATTGAAAATGTGATCAGTATACACTAGAAGATTAGTGACAGTGGATTTACCGGTTGTGAAGCCATGCTGTTGGTCAATAATTGCGTTTCTAAAGTTAGAATAGATACGTCGATGTACAAGTCTTTCAAGTACTTTAGGAATTACGGAAAGTATTGATATTGGGCGATAATTTTCGACAACATTTTTGGCTCCGGACTTAAAAATTGGCGTAATGTGGGATAATTTCCAACAATTAGGAAAGACTCCTTCGGAGAGACATCTGTTGAAGATAATATGTAAAGGAACGCATAGAGACTGATGTGTGCGCTTAAGAAAGACAGGGCGGACATTGTCAGGACCTGGACCTTTACTAATATCAAGCTTCTGAAGTTCTTTGCTGATTTCATCCACAGAAAAACTAACATTATTGATTAGAATTTGTGAATCACTGGAACTACCGCCATCAATAGAAGAGATATCAAGAACAAGGTCTGATCTAGGCACAAGCACGGACTTAAAATAATCAGAAAACATTTCAACTATCATCGTGGGTTTATCTGATATAATGTTACCGTATTTCATGATTTGAGGATATCCGGTGTTAGTCTGCTTTAAAGAGGATGTGTATTTCCAAAAATATTTGATATTAGTTTGCAGCGATTTTTCAACTCTATCCATATAGCGATTATAGTTTAGTTTTATAAGTCGTTTAGCACGTGCTCTTAAGAGTGAAAATTCTTGATAATCTCGTAAATTTTTATAGACCTTCCAGCGATTCCAGATTTTTTGCTTCCGATTTAAAGTTCTAATTAAACCGTTGCCAAACCAAATAGGATATTTGCGTGATTTATGTTTGGCAAGTGGTACATAAGTAGCAATAATATTATTTATTTCAGAATAAAAAGCGGTAACAGCGTCATCAATAGTGGGGGAGGACAACAATGTATCCCAATGAACTTTCTCAAAGGCATTATTTACTAATTCGTAATCTGCACAAAAGAAATTTCTATGGGTAACAATGGCAGTGGCCAAGGTTGTTAGTCTATTTGTAGTTAAGGCAATATCTAGGGCTGGATGGTGAGGTACGGTATTTAGAAGTGGATCAGCAGAGGAAATGACATTACTTGGAAGTGTGGACAGAACTAAATCCAGGAGTCGTGAGTTGTCATTGAAGATAGCGTTAGTTTGTTTTAAATTCATAAAAGACATCGTGTATAGCAGTAATTTTGACGACTCAGTGTTTGCGGATTGAAGTAAAATTTCAGGCGTGGAAGACCAATTGAGATTAGGTAAGTTAAAATCACCAATAATTATGTAGTTTGAGTAGCGTCCACTAATGAATATGTCATGTAATTTATGGAAAAAAGTATTATAAGCTATGAAGTGGGTCGCGGGGGGAAAGTAGGAAGCATTAAGTATAGTGCTGGAATGGGTCGGTAAATAAATATATATTTCTTCCAGATCCAAAGCTTCTAATTCAGTTAACCTGACAGCACGCATCTCACTCCGCACCATTATCAAAACACCCCCACCTCCCTTCTTACGGGTAAATGAGAGGTCTCTGTCACGCCGAAATATATCGTAACCCCCAAAAAGTAATTCACCGTCAAATATAGAAGAAACCAGCCAAGTCTCCACCAGCACGATAACGTCATAAGAGCAAGAGGATATGCTAAGCTTTAAATCAATGAGTTTACTTTTTAAGCCTCCACAGTTCTGGTAATAAATAGAAAGGTTATCTAAAGCCATTATCCATAATCAAAGATAAGAAATAAGCATAAATTAAAATTAAAAATCGTATGAACACTAAAGCACTCCGCACCGCAATAAAAAGATGCACAGACAAAATATAAATTACCTTGTATGATGAAGTAAAGTTAACATATAATACCAAAGAAAAATTCGACCGCCAGCCAAAGATAAACGAAATAACAACACCAAATAATAAACTCATAAAAACAAAATCAAATGTAAAAAATGGAGAGACCAATAGTCATGCTATTTTAACTAAATCATCAATGGAACGAACTTGAAGGACTTTAGTTTCATCAGCTTTTCTCACGAAAATACAAAAATTTTTTACCCAGACATATTTGTATCCTTTATCCTTAGCTAGCTGGCGGGTTTTACTGAACAAGATTTTATTTTTTAATGTCAGATGTTCATTGATAAAAAATCTCTGACTATCACCCGCGCTCGAGGCAGACGCAGACCCACCAAACAGCTGACCGACTGTTAGGGACCGACGTACACGCGCGGCAGCGATAAAGTCGTCTCTTTTTCTACGACTGGCCAGCTGCAAAATAATATTTTTCGGCCGATTTGTTGGTATCCCTGGGGCGACGCGGTGGACAGTCTTAATGTCACAGTCCTTCACATCAATGTTCAAAAGCTTGCCAAGAGTGAAAGACAACTGCATAAGATTTTCTCCTTTTTTTTCGGGGACATTCTGTATCTCGAGGTTGCAACTTCGGGAGCTCTGGTCAAGATCGTCAAAGTTGGAGCGCAGTGCGTCTACCTCTTTACGCAGCAAAGCGTTTTCTTCCTGGATGCTAGTGGAAGAGTTTGTAGCACTTCCAGATTCCATCTGCGCTATCCGGACCTCCCATGCGTCCATCCGGTTTTCCAGCATGTTTATATCAGCCCTGAGGGTTCGCGATACCTCTGCGATCGCAGAGTTAAGATCATCTCGCCACTGCTGTCTTAAATCCGCAAGCTTAGAGTCCATATATTTAGTTAAAGACTCTGTATCAATATTTAATGACGGTGCCAAGCTAGCATTAGGAGAGGCTGTTGTTGGGGGGATGCCTTTCCTTTTTGACTTGCATGTTGAACACTTCCACTTTATTCTGTTCATGGGTAAGATTTTTCTAAAATCTGTTTCGGTCAAATCTGCGCAATAAAAGTGAAACCAGGCCTGACAGGAAGTACATTTGATACCCTCGCCCTCTAATATATTGTTTGTACATTTTCCGCAGTCCATATTTACCCTTAAACATATATCCTGTGCACCAGAGAGAGTAGACGTCAGACTTGACAGAAATCCTTGTATCCAGTCGATAGATTTGCGACAAAGGGTAACAGTGTCAATTGTCAAACGTCAGTTATCAATTCCAAGTGACGTTGACTTGTTGTTGATTAATAATATGAGGGTATTTCGATAACTTATTCTTGAGGTCTTATGAATTTCAACTAAAATATCCTAATAAATAAGGGAGCGCGTGAGTAATCTCCAATATATGTGATGGACAGTACCTTTATGTTGTTATGGATGCACTTATAATTATGATTTTATAGGTAATTACTATACACAACTGTAACAACTTAGCACACGACGTATGTAGGTATATGAATGAATGTTTAAATAATATATCGCGTTTTAAACCGTTAAAGTGTTTTATTTACTGTAAATGTATCTGATATTAGTTTATTTAGCATTAGTTTTAAAGTCCGTCCTTCGTCTCTACGATTACTGTAAAGGACGAAGTCTCACAACGTCGAGCCTTAATTAAAATGCATTTTAAATAAGTTTACCAATAAATTTCGAGCTTTAAACAGTAAAAGTGTACTATTCATATGTGTACAGACAGTAATCAAAACTTTACGTTATGCCTTTAATGGTGTTATTAATTATGTTTGTGTAAAACTTGTAGTGCACGACCGAAATTTTGAAAATAACGTAGGCTAAAGATTTTGTCCTTATACGCTCTATAATTATCTGGTAAGTATTGTAAATCATTAAAATAAATACCTGTAAATATTAAAACTCTCTAAAGCGTCAGCATATAACCGCCCAAGGTGTCTGGCAGTTTCTGAATCATTCCGCAGTGTCTGAAGTTGATAAACTTCTCGCAGCCTGTTAGTGGCTTCTGTTGAGTTGTTTCGTGGAAGAACAAAAGAGATCGGAGCGATACTAGACCATTCTTCATTCATTTTCTTGAGGAGTGTTTCGTTATTAAGCACAGCTGGAAGGTACATACTCAGTATAACAGATGGGACATCCCTTTGAATATTTATAGACCGAGTATTACTTGAACAATAAAAAAAAATAAGATAACATAATAATGGCAAAAGTAATATTTGTTTAAACAAAACACTTTAACGGTTTAAATCGCGATATATTAGTTAAACTTATTTGAAAATGTTTTTTGGGGGGGGGGGAAAAAAACACGAGGGGGGGGGGGGGGGGAAAAAAATTTTTAAAAAAAATAAAAAAAAAAATTTTTTTTTTTCCGGGGGGGAGTTTTTTTTTAAAAAAGTATTTTTCCCGGAAAAAAAAGGAAGGAAAAAATGGTTGTGGTTTGGGGAAAAAAAAAAAAATAAATTTTTAAAAGCGATACCCGTTTTAAAATGTTTTGTTTGCAAAATACTCACATGTCTCCTACTAGTACTACCAATTCAATAAGTGACTTACGTGGGATGAGAAAATTAGTCAAAAAAGCCTTTAATTTTTATAGTAGTAGGGATACGAAGATACTCACTAAATGCCTTCCAAAAGAACTCATTTTGAGTGACACTGATTATATAAGGAACTGGATGCATCTTGTTCTTTCTGATCGCTTCTATCGTGTCGACTGGAAGGAATCGTTCTTGACCAAAGTCGGGTTCAACTACTACCTCCCAGAGGGTGAGAGGATCAAATCCAAACTCCTAAAATTTTAAGAATTAACAAGCTTAGTTAGCTAGTTAAGATGACGTGTTTGTCGTCTTCTGTATGATATACATAGAAATAAAGATGTCTTACAAAGAAACCACGTAGCGAGTTCCCTAAATCTCTCCAAGGAACGGTCTTTAAGCAATCTATGATCGCCTGAGAAGAGTGAGTGGGACAGTTGACCAGTTTCGCCTGTCTGACAGCCAGATGATTAAGATTCGTTGGAGTACTGATCTTCCTTGTAGGGGAACCACTCATAGATATAGCACGATGAAACAGATCTGGACATAAGATTATTTATTCACTTTTTATGATAGAGGAGTGAGTACAAGCAAGAATAACATCTAAACAGGATGCGTGGTCAACCTATTTTGCCTTTGGAAATTCGAAAACTAAACGGAAACCCGACTTAAACTTTTTTATCTGTGGTTCGTGGATCCGGAAGAATTTCGATATTCCTACCACCCTTAAATACTTCTTATAATTTTTCTTTCACGGGTTTTACTATATTTGCTTAAAATACCTTTTGACATAGGTGAGATCATATGCAGCATCACACTAGCAGCACCTGCACTGCAGCCTGTTATAGTGACACAGTCAGGATCACCTCCGAAAGAAGCAATATTCCTTTGCACCCATTTCAAGGCCGCTACTTGATCTTTCATACCATTGTTACCTGGGGCTAGTTTATCTCCGGTACTCAAGAAACCTGTTAAAATTGTTAATTGTACTGTCTTCTCTTATTTACTTTTAATTTGATATAGAAAAATCTACATACCGAGAGTACCAAGTCTATAATTAAATGTTACGAGTACAATGTCTCTATCTAGAAGGTAATGTGGACCTTGGATATCACTGCGACCTGACAGCGAGTAGAAACCACCAGCGTGTATGTATACTATTACTGGTAAGGGCTTCTTCCTAGAAAGAAGATTATTGGAGCCATAGACTTAGACAATAACTTAACTTACTAAAAGCTATTCACTTACACTCCATATATCACTGCGGAGTACAGGCATAAGAGAAAAGGTTTTGAACCCATCCTTCTTCCTACACGTTGGCAGACCAATCAATTAGTGATGATAAACGTCTTAGCGTATCCACTGAGACACATGGTATACGTTACCTTCTTCCATTAACTGTTATCGCTCAGAACTAAAATTTCGCTTGAGCCCAGGATTAGAACCCTGGTCCTCTTAGATTGCTGTTGATTTTACTACCCACTACCCCAAAAAAAATAGAGTGCCTTATTTAATGAATTTGCAGATTAATCATTTAAGAATATTAAATGACACTTATGCTTATCTGCCACCAGAAATAAATTGTTTTTTCGTAAAGTACCTTTCAGTTTTAAGAGGGGTGTAAACATTGAGAACGAGACAGTCTTCATTTACATTATATCCGGGAGAGGTAGGGCGTGGACACGATGCCCCATCTTCAGTAGAATCCACTGGTGATGAGTAATTCAAGATGAGGATCGGAGGCTACCAACAAATATATAATCTTTTTATCTGCAAGAAGTAAATGATTTCTTCTACAAGCACGAAATACAACTTTTTAAGTGCACCATTATAATTGGTGGGTTAGTGCTGCAAAATAAACCAAGAGCCTAGTGTTTACCCCTACAAAAAGGAACGAATCAAGAAGGAAATTTTTCAACAGAACAAACTATATTTTCATTTCCTTATTTACTTACTTAAATTTTCCTTATACAAAGTTATCAGTCATTAAGATTTTTGTTACGTTTTATTGATAGTGACAAATAATATACCTGAAAGCGTAATTCTCCTGTAGGCGGTTCTGCATAAGGTATTCCTCTGTAGGTTTCGAACTGACGTCCCTTTCGTGTCACATTATATCCACCGCGAAACTCCCCAGATGGACTGTTTACTACGGGTTGTCTCTCTAGATATATGGTGAGAGGCTTTTAAATTCAATAAGTAAAAATAAAATTTTACTTAAAAATCGATGCAAATTAAGAAAAAAATCGACTGCTGTTGGTCTGACGATGCCGGTTCAAGTCCTGCCCGAGTCGAAATTTTTTTCAATTTATTTTCGATTTTTAAATTATACAGTGGCTTCATGTGCAATAACATGTGAAAAATATTAAAGTTTTCAAACGTTATGTTATTTCATTTGATCAGAACAAAGAAAAAGCCAAAGTGCTTAAGAAACCACTACGAACACTATACGAAGTTTAAAAAAAAAAAAAAAAAAAAAAAAAAAAAAAAAAAAAAAAAAAAATTTATTTTTGCCCCCCCCCTGGGGGGGTTTTTGGGCGCCCCGGGGCCGGGGGGGAAAAAGGGGGGGGAGGGGGAAAAATTTTAAAAAATAAAAAACGCGTTTTAAACCGTAAAGTTATTAAAAAAACGAAGGTTCGCCGATACGATAGTAACTATTACGGATGGAGAAATAAAAAAAAAATAAGTATGTTACAATTATCGTACTATTCTCCCAATTAAGTGGAAGTTCTTAAAATTACATTTTAGTTGCGGGCTTTTGTTCAAGTAAATTATTGTTATTATTTTTATGTGGAAAATGTTCAAATAAAATATTAAAGTAATCGCGGGCACGTTTTGAAACTCAAGGTGCTTTATATCATGTCAGTATAATAAATAGATGTATATTAAAATTAGAAGCAGTTTAAAAAAACAAAAAGACATACGATTATTCCCATCATTTTGGCTGTAACAACGAACACAAACAAGAAAACAGTACAATAACACGAAACGTATCATGTTCGACGATTGAGAAGGACTAAAGAATAAGTGTGCAGGCTGGCATTTATGTGCCGGTGTATTTATTGATTGTAATGTTTAATCCAGGAATTCCAGAAATTTCTCGGGTTCGGGAACAATCCTTTCAAATTAAATTTCGAATTAAGTGCGTTATATCTTTTGTTAACGTACCTATAAGGTACAGAAGTTTTTTTCTTTGATAAAATATGAAAAATGTGTAAGTGATTCTAAGCCGCCAGTTTATTTTTTCATTCAACATTACTCTCTAAATACTGTCTATAGTTTACGCGATTAGTACACATTTAAATAAAACACATTAACGGTTTGAAATTTAAATGTCTGCCAGTGACCACGGCTGCTGCAAAGCATCCGAAACGTCGGGCCGAAGTTAAAAATCATTTTTAAATAAGTTTAACTAATATATCGTGTTTTAAACCGTTAGTGTTTTATTTAAATTACCTACTCTTTAAAGTCGACCACCCACAGGCAACTGCGTTAAAGAAATGCAAAATCATATACATAGTTTAACACATACGTACAAAGAATTAATATTTTACCTATTTTTATATAATTAATCTTTTTCACTTTGTCACTTATTTTATTAGACTCGGGTCAGCTAAAGGTCTGAAGTAAACCCAAATTAAAACTCAGAGACTAACTATTCTATTGTTTTACTTAGCATCGATTATTATAAATCTTTCTAAAAACTGACGTAGTCAACATTTTTTATTTACTAGTAGTAGTTACTAACATGGTAGGGTTTTGTAGATATTATATACTTCATAATACAACATTTATCTACTTGCCACCAATTCTGTCATTTTAACGAAATCAACACGCATATTCCTAAATGACTTAGAAATATCTTTAAAATCTTTTATCTTCGATTCATCGAAATTATTTTATAAACAACGACATTATGCGTAAACAAACATAAAAATCAATATATTATATTATCGACATTTACACGATAGCCCATTGACCATTCACGTCAGGTCAGGTTACTGCTAAGCACTCACCAATAACTACAAGGAAAAATACTCTTTAAGGAAAATTGTTTCTACGATAAGCTCTGTTTATGTTTTGTGTAAATGTTTGTTAAGCAGAACAATGCTTTTAATTATATGTGATTTGTAATGAATGAAAGGAAATGAAAAAGTGAAAATATAATTAATTAATGATTGAATTTACATACTACACAAATTTCTTCAACCCCTTAATACATGCCCTTTGCTCGATATACCCTTGATGTATACTCGTTATACATATGGGTATATGTAGTTAAAATATATTGTTTGATTTATGCGGCAATATTTGATTATTCTTATTACTAATATCGATTATTATAATATCAAATGTAAGCCACAGATAATACTTAATTTAATAACATTAATAATACAAAGTTTTCAAATTAGTAATACTTCAATATAAACATTATATTTAGGATACAGAGTAAATAAAACTACAATTTAACTCTTTATTTTTATTCAGTGTTTCAAACTATAATCTATGGGATATAACTGATCCCACACATGGAATCTATCTTCGAACAGATTTTGTCCCAAAGAGTAATGTTCCGTGATGCGTAGGTATGTCCGTCTGTCTGGCTTTATTGGGGGCCAGACTGGCGGTGTAGATGTGTCCAGTAAGGGGTTTGGATCTCTGAAAGGTGGTGAAAATATGTGAAATATACAGCAGAATGTAAGACAGGTTTCGCACCCAAGGAAGAGTTTAATTGCATTTCCATTTCAGTCTGTGGACTTCTGAATATCCAAAGCGCATATTTTTTACAATCATCAACCCCATACTTGCCTGTCCTCCTGTATCATAAAACAAATACAAAATCTTTCAGACCAAGCGATCTAACATAAACATTCTTTCTTCAGATAAATGTGCTAAGAATACGCCCATTGTTCCAACAGCACCGCCTTCTATTTCAAATGTATTACTTGTAAGAATCTTATAAGTGAATCATCAATTAATTTAAAAATGAATTTAGAAATGAGCCATAATCGAATAAATTTTTTCAGTGACAATTCATTTTCAATGAGGAGTAGACAAAAACATAGAAATAACAGCGGCAGAGCGAAATTGTTTGTTCCCATTGCATTCATGTGTTGATTGTTCCGATATCTAATAATTGTTACTAACCCTGTACGTGCGAAATTGTAGAAATTGTTCGTCAGCTTATCCACCATCATTGAATCACTGGAACTTGAAAGCGGAATATCGTCAAACCCGATCGGGAGTGAGAACAGGTATATCAGCTCGTCGTGGTGAGCAACTCCTGTTGAAACAAAAATAAAATGTCTTAGGGCATCCCATTAGGAAAGTTTTATGAAAGTTAAACATTATAATCTTTACATATTGTGATCAAACTTTGTAGTTCCTTTTGTGAGTTACCTTTGGTAAGGTCCGTTACTTTATGAATGCTGTTATACCTAAACTTTAGTCAACTTTGTAAAAAACGATTCCCGTTCCACAGAAAAATAAAAATTGATGTGATTAAATAAAAATTGTCAACTAGTAACTGCCGCTTTAAGAAACGGTTTAACCTTCCATAAAAAGAAGGCATCACTAACCTACAGGTTTTCCGGTTGTAGGATCCTGGTAGTGACTATGGTTACCAATGTAATCAAACTCGTAATAGTAGGTTGGCTGCTTGTTGTGGTATGCCATGAGATTCGCCAATCTACAAAAAAATAATATTCTTTTTAACAGAAAAAAAACTACAATTGTTGGTAGATTTTTTTAATGACCAACTTCTGAAGTAAACACGAGACCGGTGCATAAACGCCGAAAGCGGATTTATTTTGAAACTAGTGTGCCCGGCACTTCATCTGCGTGAAATAGTTATTTTAGGCATCTAAATTTGTATTTATAAACCTGCAAGATGACGATCTTTTAAACTAAAGCTGTTATCGACAACGCGCGACGTCCACGTCCAGTCGCGTCGTTCTTGCGAATGAATGTTAAAAGATAGACGTATAATGTGGCGGACATTTTTAAGACAGTTTAAGGAGGGAGTATTCATTTAGACATTTTTTTGGGTTTACTCTTTAAATATTAATATTTTTTTACATTTTCCATTGTTTACACTGTTTTCGCTTCTCTCGGTGTGATGTTTTACAGCCTTCCTTGATAAATGCTAAATTTTTTAGTTCAATTGTTCCCGAGATTACTGAGTTCAAACAAATAAACAGACTTTCAGAGCTAGTTTTATAGTTGAATCACATTTTGTGCTATCTGGCGTATCGTGTACTTCATCTTCGGTCTTATTATTTCACCTGTGGACACCAAAACCGATGACACCATCGCCGTACAACTTTCCAAGATCTTGACCGTCGCGGGTGTTATTTCCAAGAGTTCTGTTCTTGAAATAGAACTCCCGCAGTACATCAGCTGCGTGATCAGACGGTTCAGGAAGTAGGAACGCAGAACGAGACACGCTGTACCAGTCCGAGTTGATCAGGGAAGTGTATATTGCGTTCTCGAATACCACTGAAAAACATAGAGTTACATAAATCTATGTTTACTTGTACTTTATATAAATCGTATATACTTTGTTAACACTTTTAAGAATATCTGGAGGCGCCGTCAGTTATGTATTGAAAAAGTATAGTCACGCTTTAATTTACACAAATACTTTGGCCATTTATGTGTAAGCTTCACAAATCGTTTAATTTTATTTAATAATAACAATAATAAATCATTTATTTAAATAACTCTAAACAGGAGCCACTCAGTATAACGTTACAAACATGCTTGTGTTGCAACACTGATTTCCACTGCCCGGAATATATGGGAGCTATAGTAACAACTAACAAAAACAATTTACTAAATAATACATCCTCCTCTATTGCCTATTTTGCTCGGCACTCGGAACTAGGCTTATTATATGCATGCTCTTTTAAATAATTTTATTTTTTAACAAGCTGTGCCCGCGACTACGTTCGCGTGAAACAGTGGCTTGGACTTAGAATGTTTAATTATTTAGACTGTTTATTAATTTATGTAAGGGCGCATTTAAGGCAGCCAATTTGCCGCAACACTCTCACCTCACATCACTTCTACTCTTAACTCTCACTCTCATTCCTACACTCACTCCCATTCCCAGCCCCACTCCAATTCCCACGCCCACTCCTATTCCCAAAAAGCCAAAGAATAAAGTTTCATTGTTCTAGCTTCGAAAACCACGAATTTCCATACAAATTTTCATCCCCTTTTAAACCCCTATCAACCCTTTTTGGCATTAAAATATCTGTGTACCAAGTTTCATTTAAATCAGTTCTGTAGTTTCGGAGTTAAAGCCGGACAGACAGACAGAGTTACTTTCGCATTTATAATACATATTATGTATAGTATGGATGTTTACGTAGATTTTTTTATATTCTGCCAGTACCTGAAACCTATCCATCTTCTTATATGCGTACAGATAAGAAGTTAGACATTTAGCCAACATACTCCAGTAACTATAATTTTACAATATTTGAATGACCAAATACTCACAGAATGCCTCCCAAAAGAACTCATCTCTTGTCTGACTGACGATTAATGGTACGGAGTTCAGTTTTCCTGAACTAATAGTATGTAAAGGATGTTCAGAGAGAAACCGCTCTTGACCGTACTCAGCCTCAATTACAGGTGTCCAAATTAGGATAGGGTCAATTGAGAATTCCTGTAACGTAATGTCGTATTTTATGTCTTTAACTAAAAAAAAACAAAGTCTATACATGATTTAAATAAAGGACTTAGGTTTAAAACGCGAAATAGTTAAACTTATTTACATATAATTTGACCTACGACCCGACGTTTCGGATGCTTTGCAGCAGTCGTGGGGAAAGGGACTTTTTAAATAAGTTAATTTATACTTCTCTAAAGTTATTTTATTCAAAGGTTAGTTATTAGATTCAAGTGTTGGTCGAATTTGTAAAAAACGATAGGCTACCAAAGTTTGTTAATTTAATTTAACGTTTTCATACCTGTTACTGTGATTATATAGATACCTACACAATACAATATTCTTGGAAATCATAATAAAAAACTGACCCGGAATCCATCCAGCGAGTTCCCAAGTTTTTCCCACGGCACTGTCTTGAGACAGTCAACGAGTGCTTTGGTTGAAGTTATTGGACAGTCGACTAGCCGCGCTTGCTTCACGGCTAGTGATAGAAGATCCTTTTTGAAGGGAACTTGGGAGAAAGGTGAACCACTCATCGACACAGCGCGATGGAACAGACCTGAATGAACAAAAGGACATGACAATTTAGATGAAAAGACATTGTTTAAATCGTTCGAATATACCTCATTTGCTCAATTAAGTGGACCTCGGTCTACCATACGAATGTTTGGTAATTAAACACTGTCTATAGTTTTCGGGGGGCGAGTACTACACATTTAAATAAAACGAATTTATTTTTTTTTGAAGCGGTTTAAAACGTGATATATTAGTTAAACTTATTTGAAAACGATTTTTAACTTTTTCGGGCCCGATGTTACGGATGCTTTGCAGCAGCCGTGGTCACAGGGAGACTAAGTTAAAAATCATTTTCAAATAAGTTTAACTAATATATCGCGTTTTAAACCGTTAAACGTAAAATGTTTGGTGATTGTTGGCTTACTATCTCCTTGCATAATTTCTTGAGTTTTAGAGAAACAAACGAATGTGCATTAATCTTTATAAGTCTATACGATTTCGAGTGTACCCTGTTTTAATTAGTTACTTTTGGTTTACTGATTCACCTTAAATTATATTACAAAGCTTAACTTGTTAGAACGAGACGTAAACGTTATAGACGTTACCTATTAACATCTATAATTTATAAAGATGATGAGAGGATTCAAAAACTAATTCCGACGCCTAAAAGAGTATATTCTCGAATTAAAATTTGATGATATTCTAGACGCATAAGGTCGCCGGCAAAACTAGTATTAAGAGGCTTGTAACACCCGTAGCACCTAATAAATCGAGTTGTTTCTACTAAGCTCACTAAACCTGCAAAAGAACTTACATAACCTTTTTTACATCTCTATAAGTGTACTTCCTAATACCTTTTGACATAGGAGAAACAGTATGTAAGGCCACGCTGATTCCTCCAGCGCTGTAGCCAGATATCGTTACGCAGTTGGGGTCCCCGCCAAAGGACGCAATGTTCCTTTGAACCCATCGGAGTGCGGTCACCTGATCTTTGAACCCGTTGTTGCCGGGTGCTTCAGCATCACCGGTACTTAAAAATCCTGAAAGAATAAGATTTATTAACACTAAATCAAATGAATATCTATAATATTTATCTATCTAAGCCTCCGAGGTGGATTTAAAAAAAATATTTTACTTAGAAGGAATTTTGAAATAAAGTCCATACATAGTTAACGCAACTAGTACACATTTAAAATAAAACACGTTTATCGGTTTAAACGCGAAATGTATTGGTTAACTTATTAAGAATATATCTTGAGTACGCCGTGGCCACGGTAGCTGCAAAGCATCCGAAACGTCGGGTAAAAATGTTTTATTTAAGTAATTATGATTCGTAACTTCTAGGTAAATATGGAATAGCCCCTAAGTAAGTCATTGTACGTTTCTACTTAGACTATAATTATAGAAAGAAGTTACCTAAAGAACCGAGCCGATAGTTTATGGTGACCAATACAAGGTCCTTGTCAAGCAGATAGTGGGGTCCTGCAACATCGGATCGACCGGATACTGAGTAAAATCCACCCGCGTGGATATATACAATGACGGGTAGGTTCGTTGCGCTCGACACATTTCTGAAAAAAATGTTTAAAATTCAATTTAAAGAAAAACAAATTAAATTTGTAAAAAAAATCGTTGCTTTCGAGAAGAGTTCAATTTCTAGTTGAGTAATACAACTTAAACACCATAGTCAAAACTTAAAGTATAAATGAAAATTAAAAATCCCACAAACACTCAATAGTAATAATTTTATTTTTCTCATTTAAAGTTTGAGCAAATTTGACCACCTCCTTGAGATAAGTCCTGTATATCTGAATCTTTGCCGTGTAATAGAAGTAATAGAATCATCTAATCCACAACATGGCGACCAAAATGGTTCGAACTGGCTTACACATAAAGCTGTTTGAGAAAAATACAATAATTTAAAAATTGAAAATAAAAAAAAAAAAAATTCGATTCGGGCAGGACTTGAACCGGCGTTCCGTGCTGTTGCTCTGGCTCTGACGATGCAAGTCCTGCCCGAGTCGAAAAATTTTTTCAATTTATTTTCGATTTTTAAATTATATAGTGCCTTCATGTGCACATGAAGTCACTATATAATTGTAAAAGATATTAATGTTTTCAAAAAAACAATACTTTGTCGGGTGTAAAAATATTAGAAGTTGTTCAAAAATTCGTCATTGGTTTTAAAGTCCTGAATTACTTAGTTGTAATTTCCGCGCATTATTTGAGAAAAGTATACAATACTATACAAGCCTTGGCCGCAACAAAGTGTAACTGCTCTTCAAATATTGACCTGTTTCCTGGTGTGTAGACATTCAGTCTCAAGCAATCCTCATCTAGATAATACCCCGGGTCGGCGGGTTGAGGACAAGCAGGGCCCTCTGTTGTGGCATTTACTTCCTCTGAATATTGAGTTATTAGAACCGGAGGCTAGAAATATACAAAGTTGTTTAGTTGAGATAATAGAAATTGATAGCTGAACAGCGTTTCATGTTATAACACTTGACGTACATATTTAGTACAAAAAACTGTTGGCGGCGCCCTAATTAAGCAAATTAAAATATTTATTTATATTTATTGTATATATCCGCTGAATAAATTATTTCCTATTTCTAATCTAGTTTTTTTTTATATTTGTATTAATTTTTATTACTAAATATTAACAAGACTACACGAAAGAAAACACGGACATTTTTTTAGATTATGTATTTTAGAAAAAAAATCATTATTTCACACACATCATCTTTTGGTCACTGGAACCGTTTTCGCAGCACATGTAAGGGAAAGCCTTAGAGATAATAATTGAAAAATTCGTTCTTTCGTCGTTTCCTTGTTTTCACTGTTTTTATCTCTATATATCGCAGCGATGTCCTATATAACCTAAATAAATGATATTCCTCGAAAAATGGTCAACACCTTTTTTTAAAATACGAACCACTAATTCGCCACTAGTAGCGTGCTCAAACAAACTAACCTTTCAGCTTTATAATACGAAGCACCCACAAATTCCATAAAACACAGATTTAAGCACTAGTTCAACAAATCACCTGAAAACGTAATTCTCCAACTGGTGGCTTGGCGTATCGGATACCTCGAAACGCGTGAATGGTTCTTCCCCGACGTGAGGTCATCAATGATCCCACGATCCGACCCGATGGGGTTTGCACTAACGGACTACCTGATAAAATAGAATATACAGATAAATGAATGTGTGTACATATTGACCATTTTTGTTTTTATTTTTCTTAAAATTAAATTATTAGTTTTTAATATTGTCTACACATATGCACATACGAGAAAAAAGACAAAAACTGCAATTCAAGTTTAAAATGATCCGACAAAATCATTTTAATATAGGTATGAAGTTTATTTTAATATAATACAAAAGAGTTGTTTTAAATTGGTTTTAGATGGATTTTTTTTATAAATAAAAATCGTATAATTAATTTGTTATTTCGACCAATAAAAGTGTCACAAAAATTCACTTAAAAATCCCCTTTTCTTACGTATGCTGAGACCACATTTCTGTGTCCGTTTTACTGATTGGTTAGTAAACAAACATGAAATTATAAGTATTATAAAAGAGTGCCAAAAATGGTTTCCACTTCAGATAAGTCTTGTCAGATAATCAGACACTATCTTAATCAAACCAATATATTTTTATTTCATTGTTACGTTATAAAAAAAACATATTTATTTCCATTTAAATTAAGTTTATAAATACCTGTAGCATGGCAGACATAAAGAAAGAAACAAATAGACAGACAAAGGCACGTCTGCGCCATCTCACTGTTATACTCTACTGATATCGATGCATAACTTTTGTCCTTTATATCAGGTACGAAAACAGGAAAATTATTGCACTATTGAGACGATTTTCCTAGCAAATGATTCATATAACCTTATGCTTTGTCTGGAAGTTAGTCAATGAAGATTTACTATGTTGTATGAAAAATTAACAGAGCAAGATTAAAATAAAACAATGTATTTGGCATTGTTTGTTGATTAACCCAGTTAAAAAAACACTATCACGCTTGTTCAAGCTGTGCTGAAGATCATCATTTGATGAGCTCGTTGGTGTAATGACCGACCGTCCACAGATGAATAAGTCGTCAAGATGAATCGCGTTTTGGTTTCAGCCTGTGGATTTCCGAAAAATCAAAGGAAAAACAGGTCAAGAGCGTATCTTGTTTAGATTCACCTACCATCAAGCGAACCCCATGTCCGTCTTTCCTCCACTATCATAATATGTTTTATATTTCGCATTGATCATGAATAATATTTGGCACCTTACGATGAAGAACGTGTTATAAAAGCACGTGCACAGACTTCTGTACTTTTAAGTCAGTTTAATACTGTCTGTAGTTTACGCGAGTACTACACATTTAAAGGCTTAAAACGCGAAATGTATTAGTTAAACTTATTTGAAAATTATTTTAACTTCCACCATGAAATTCAAAACAAGTTTAACTAATATATATGGCGTTTTAAACAGTCGAAGTGCTTTAGTTGATGTCAGTTTTCAGCCGGGTTGTGCACTACTAATTTTGTTTACCTTCAAGACACCTCTGATGAAGGAAATTACGGAAAACTTTAATATTTTTCACATGGTTTTGCACATATCGTTCTAAAAAAAATCGATTATAAATAGAAAAACATTAACGACTCGGGTATCCTCAACTTTTCGTGCTGTTGTATTGTCTAATAATTGAGCTACCGAGTCCTACACCACAAAGGGAATTTATCGTTTGGAAATCACGTCGTAGATGTGGAAGGCTTGTGCCATCTGTCAATGTGACGATTTAATAATTAGAAGTTTATTTAGAGTCCAATAAATTAAGACACGCTCCGAACTAAGTAGCGATACAGTGACCTATTTACACCTGTATCAAGTTCAGGATGAAGCACTTGGTGTCTCAAAAGTATTCGAGACCATCCTTTCACCGTACTCTCTCTTGAGTTGCAACCCGGGGCTCATTCAGTCGATCAACAGCCGCTCGAAGACGTGAACAAGCGTAGGCGGAGTGAAATATGCGGACGGCTCTGTAGAAAGTTTTCGTGTTATTGTGCTAGTGATCGAATTCGGAACGATGTTGAAGTTTTTAGTTTTGTTGGTAAGGTTTACTTTTTATTATTTGAAATGAGAATAAAATGGAGATTTACTGCACGGTCAATTTAAGCTATATATTTTATTTAAGCTAAGCTAAGCTTTAATATAATAAATCTATATTAAAGTTGGGGATTATTATAGCTCTGATTACTATTTTATTTTGATACGGACGTATTTAAAAATAATGTTAAATATCTGACATTGGTAGCCGGATTGTTAAAATAATTTATATATTTATTTTCTTTATAGTTTTAATATATTATAGCAAATGTATTAATATTAAATCCGTAGAAACCAGACGTTTGCTATATCTACACAAGTTAAACATCGTCATTAATTTATGAAATAAACATATTATCTTTCCCGCCATTTCCGTGTGTAACAGTAAATTATAAGTGTAAGCAGAACGGTAATGTTATGGTCTAGTTAGAAAGCAGTGGGACCGCGTAAGGCGAACCGTGTCAGACACAGTTATGTGGCTGCACTGGTGGCCCTTAAGCACCGTTAGAACATGGAAATTAGTTAACTGCTTAAGTCTTAAACCTACTTGCATTTCGCCTCACTTTATTATAATTTTGTCTCCAAACTATAATATGCTACATTACGGAAATAAAAATTGTACAAGTGTGTAGGTAAAGTATTACACAAATATCAATACGGTGTTCTGAAAATATTACGAAATCCTGTATCCCCCCCCCCCCCCCCGGGGGAAAACAACCGGAAAGGGGGGGGGGAGGAAAAAAAAAATTTTAAAAAAAGGAAAAAAAAAAAATCGCGTTTTAAACCGTGAAAGGGTTTTATTTAAAAGCCGAAATGTTTAATCATTACTTAGGACGATACTGGGATGTTTGAAACAGTATTTAAAAAGAGGCGATTTGTTAAAATCTTGAATTCTAAAGGTAATTGTGGCTCAGAAATGTTTAAACACTTGATTTATTTACTTAATTTCGTAGGAAGTAAAGAGCGTCCATAATATGTGTCGAACACACTTGCAATTATATTAAAATTTGTTTTCTTATACGTAGGGCGTGTAATAAGAACAATAACTAATTTTCATCGTTTGTCTAATGTTTTCGGCAGAGCCACAAAGTTATTGCTCGCTTGTAATTTAAGTAGAGTCGAATTAGATAGAGATTTTAAACCAGCGAAGTGTAGAACACTCAAATATTTTACAATAGTTCCGGTTGGAATTGTCAGTTTCACTCGTTTTGTGCACTGGCGTGACAGATATGGGTAATTCTGGAAAGAAAGTTGGCCAACTCGTCTTCACGATTTAAAAAAGAACCAACGAGTAGTACACATTTAAATAAAACACTTTAACGGTTTAAAACGCGATATAATAGTTAAACTTATTTGAAAATGATTTTTAACTTCGGCCTGACGTTTCCTCTCTCTTCTTCTTGTCAAACTTCTCCCCGTGACCACGGCTGCTGCAAAGCATCCGAAACGTCGGAGTTGAAGTTTATAAAAATCATTTTCCAATAAGTTTAACTAATATATCGCGTTTTAAACCGTTAAAATGTTTTATTTGAATGTGTACTACTCGCGCCAACTATAGGCAGTATTTACATTTGACTTTTCCATATCTCTTTTTGATAATCTAGTCTAGCTAACGCTAGTAAGAAGTTCGTCTTTAAATAAATCCCTTTTTAAAGTTTTTAATAATTTTTAACTACTATTGATTGATAGTATGTTATGTCTTAAAGGTGTGATTGAATGCAATGAAAGAAATCATCAAATTGTATGTAGATTATGCAGACACGCGTACTATTCTGACGGTATCTACTGTCCGTTACGCATACATTTGGAATCATGATATTGAAACCATTACAGCTCAGTGACTTTTATACTGTAAATAAAACCAGTGCCATCAGTGAAACGGACACAGAAATGCGTTCGCCCCATGCCCCACCAGGGGAAACGGAATTTCACCATAAACATTGATATACATTCTCCATTACAAAACACAATAAAAAGACGTGAATTGTTATATCCGCATTTCGGTTTCAGCCTGTAAACTTCTGACTGTACGAAACCAAACTATGTTGACAGATGTTATACATTTAAAAAATGCAAAGAAATTAAAACTATTCGTCTTTTGTGCTAAGATGTAATTAATAAGTACAGTTTAAATTATTGGTAATTAGCGACTAGCCCCGGCTTCGCTCGGGTGCAATGCTGATACTGCATACACTACAGAAAAACTGTGAACGTTGTATATTAAAACTTACTCTTAAATCACTCTATCTATAAAAAAATCCGCATCAAAATCCGTTAAGTAGTTTTAAAGATTTAAGCGCACATAGGGACAGAAAAAGCGACTTTGTTTTATACTATGTAGTGATAATTATATGTCCAGTTAACATTTTCGTGCCAGTAGGTCAAATAATAAAATAATTTAAATGTCGAGTTAACGATCTCGCAGTAAAATACGATTAAATGTTCACCGTTCATTTAATCTATACCCAATTTGCATATTATTTTAATAATCTTCTTAGTTGTACGAGAATGCGGATTTTCTACTTAATTTTCTTCAAATCTATCAAAATTCCAGAACTTAACTTACCTACTTACGACTCTACGTTACAAAATAAATAAAATAAGCAATACTGTCTATACTTTTTATAAGTACGCATATTTAATTATTTAAAGGTTTTAAAACGCGAAATGTATTAGTTAACTTATTTACAAATTATTATAACTACGTGCCGATGTTTCGGATGCTTTGCAACAGCCGTTAAAGGAGTTTTCTTTAAAAAAGCCAAATTATTACATTTAAAATATGACATTGTATTTTGTCACAGCTTTAAGCAGCTGTGTCAAAAGCTATTGAAGTGAATTGTACTGTATTATATATTAAATCAATATCAGTATAATATTTTCCTCATAATGATGTAAAAACATAGGCATGAATTTCTTAGATTGATTTATTACACAAAATATAAGCTATCTATATAATAAACAAAAGTCAAATATCCAAGTGTCAGTGTCTTATTTTAATGAATCCTACTAGCACCACAATATGTGTCTAAGAATCTCTCTTTAGCATACTGTATCAAATAATTTCGAATTTCGTCTATATTAAATAAATCAAACAAGTATAATAGTAACACGTAAACTTGTAGCCCACAGGTGATCGTCCTCTCTCGACCAGTGGGTGAAGGTCAATCGAGTAACGGAATGTGTGACGTGTATCACGACCATACATACATAATAATTGTATTTCCCCGTTAGTGGTTTTCTTTATAAGTTGTTTCAAGGGTCGGGGTCCTTATTGTATGTTACGTTCATGCGTTCACGATATTGTTCAAGTAGGCATAATAGGATCATGTATGGATATTATATGGGACTAATAAAAATAATATGATTTTAAATAGTGTCTGTAGTTTACGCAAGTAGTACACGTTTAAACGGTTTAAAACGCGAAATATATGATTTAAAATTATCTATGGCCCGACATTTCGGATGCATTGCAGTAGCCGTGACCACGGTTTTAACTAATGTACTCGCGTTTCAAACCGTTTAAGTGTTTGATTTAAATAATATGGCTTTACGTGTCACTTTAATATTATATTAATGTAACTACGTTACATTATGTCAATAGGTTTACAAAAGCTTAAATACACAGTTTAGATTTTTTTACATTCTTAAGACCACTCTTGATGTACCGCGTTTTCTTCAACGCTAACTTGAACAATTAACCAAATTTTCTTTAATATCAAGACTGTTAGACAATACACTTACGTATATGCAATATTTACAAGGATACAAGAACATAATCAAAGTAAACAAATATGACAGTACAGTGAAGATTAATATCACTTAATCGAATCAGATATGCTATTTTTTTAAATTGGCATAATATACCGACTAACGACATCATTAGTCCTGATATACCTAAATTATGTGCCATTACTATGCTACATGAAGTATGAATTACTTAACCACAGAACTGTAATATACTGTAATTGTACCCATAATGATGACACCTCTCATTTTTAAGCTCTGATTATCGAGTTAAATACATCTGTATGCCTATGTTGTTTGCAGTTTAATCTGTGGTAAAAGTCTCTGCAAAGCAATGTGACGAAATCGTTAAAAATCAAGATATAAAAATTCATGAACACTCTTTACTAATTAAACAGTAGAAAGTATAAGTTTAAGTTACCCACTATATACACATAACTAACTTACTTTTTTTATTTCTTGTCTCCTGTACGTTAGGATGCATGACTACGTTGCCTTTTATTTATAAGTTAGTACATACATTGGTTTTTTTTGGTTTTGTGGTATGTATAATGAATAAAAGAGCTGTGATAAATAAAAATATATTTAATGTTTCAATTAGTATGTATTAACTACAGTTATGCACTGTACCTATTACAAACAACAATATAGATAGAAATTGTCTTAATATTATCTTGGTCTGACCCAATGAAAGGTTCTATATTTTTCTAGCCAATACAACAGCGGGCTAAGTCCGTAGCAAAAGAAGCAAGCTATTATGTTTAACTTAATTCACACGATTTTGTTTTCGTGTGCCCAAAATACTATTATTTCGTATTAGGCGTGAAAGTAAATGCTAACAGTAAACAACCCGGAACGGAGCGTCCAAATTTAGACAAAAAAGTCTCACGCGTGCGGAATGACCTCAAACACTTAACGAATTATCCGAGAAAGTGAACTGAAATAGGAGAGACATTAGTCACGCGAATTCTTAACGTTTAGAGATTTAAAAATAACTTATCTCTAGCGTAAAAATTGAACTTCTGTATGCCCGCTCCACTGATTTAACATTTGTGTTTCTCGGATTTCGAACCTAGTTCCTTTCACGTTTTCTATATTGACGGACCTATTATAAAAGTTTACAGAGCCATAGAAACATTAGTTATCTATGGTAAAAGGATAATGAGTTATGACATTAGTTATACACACGTCTATTTATGCGATACACAGATCGGTAAGTTTTAATTACAATTAAAATAAGGTTTTAATGAATTTTTTTTAAATATATTCTATACATACAATAGCTTATTGTAGGATTTATTAAGAATATTGTTACCAATATAGTGATAAGTGTTTAAGGATCCACAACTAGTATGCTAACATTCACAAAAGTAATCTTTAAACAACAAGCCAAAAATACATAATATTGTTAAATGGCATTTCTTGTCCACTAAATTTCGTGAGATTCTAATGTATAGATGCAATTCATAGATAAAACCTCATATTAACCTAAAAACACCATTTCTTTCGTGATGTGATTAAATATAACTTCTTATAATGATAGTAACAATGAAATAATCTCAGTTAATAACATGTACCGCATCTAATATTAGTAATACGATCCAATTGTCGACAATTCGAGCACAATGATAGCTCAAATAAGTAGAATAAATTTCACTTTCAAGCAATCATTTGGAATTATGAGTATTTTCACTTATAAAGTGGGTAGGTACTTACCAAAGATTGCCAGCTCAAAAGAAATTTACAATTCAACAGTATTATTATGAAATAATGATGTCCAATTATTTAAATTTTTTACAAGAAGCAACTACTAGTCATATATAACTGGCTCTATGGTTTAGTTAAAAAAAAAAGTCCTTGCCTTAGTATTTTCGTTTGGGAGGGCAGACAATCCACTGTCCGGTTAAATAAAATGATCGCTTTTTTAGATTATAATTAAGTAAAAACTTTTAGCCAAGCTTAAAATTCAAAATAGTATCAGCTTATTAATTTTAAGTACTCGTGAACGGTACTCCTTTTTATTTTTTATACTCTGAATACAACTTACTAAGTTCTGTATACGATTAGACTACACAACTTACAGTACATAACATTATTTTAACTTAAAAGAATTTGCCTTAATATGGCAGAACCATGTGATTCACAGTTCGTGGCAGGTTGCTTAGTATCTCCCCGGAGATACGGAATACGGTTACTCGTCCGTTACATTGACGCGTGACGGCTGACCTGCATTCTCCAACACATGCGCACACGCATTGCATGACAATACTCTAACACTTAGCATAGGAACTTAGATGTTCACACGAAAACTGTCTCTTTAAATACCGTAGATATTTGAGGTTTTTTTCTCTATTATTGTCTATGTAGATGTTTCGAATTTTAATAGAAAAAATAAGTTAATCAATATTTAGAATATTTAATTAAAATAATGTTAATCAATTTAAAGTATGTAGAATGCTAAATGTACAGTTACTGAGTATATAAGCAGGATGAAATAAATTTACTCTCACGTTAGGTACTTGGAGTTTTCTGAATCTATCTTAAGATTGTAATCCATAAGGCTTGCAGTGGAAAGCAAGCTATGCTATATATTTGTGTTTTATTTTTCGATATACATATAAAAAGTAATATTGCATAAGTTATTATTATTTAGCATTTCAGATTCAGTACTCATAATACAAATAGATTGAATATATTACTTTTATTGAATGCCCAATAAATTACACAAAGTTTTAACGCACTATCTCTTATTCCAGACGTTAACAGTATTTATACGTGCAGACGAGCCTGTACCGGCATCCGAATCAAAGTCTCAACCGGTGGAGCCACAAAACGACCCGGAAGAACCTCCAGAGGGCTATTATGCCTTTGTTGAGTCACCAAACGCTACACCACCCAGGTATACTATAAAAAAACTATTTAAACTAACTAAAGTAGGACACAATAGCTCAATTGGTTGGAGTTACAGTACAGAACAATGCCGGTTCAAGTTCCGTCGTGTCGTAATTTTTTTCAATATTGATTTAGTTTTTGAGTTATAGAATTCATAATTACAATTACTTACATTTCCGATACATATGGTAAAGAGATAGTATTATACTTATATATATATGTAGAATCAACATATCGTATATCTGTGCTCGTTTATTTAATAAAAATTAACGATAAATATTTCATGTGATGGCGCCGGGAGAACTTTCACTGGTGTCTGACACCATTCCTTAGTTTAGCATCTTTATTAATCTCTTTTTAAACGCACCTCATCGTTAAATTTTAATCGGAGAATTTACGTTACTTCGTGTACAGTTACAAACTTTTACTATTATTAAATGTTTTCAGGGTTCGTCCCCCACCATATAGACAAGTGGCAACGGAATGTCCCGAAGCAACGGAGTCGAAGGCTCATGTCAGTGCTAACAACCTCTGTGGAGACCTCAATAGGGGCTTGATACCACGAAATCCCATGGGACAGAACCCTAATGGGGAGCCCTATCCTTTGTAAGTATATCAGGTATAAAATTATAAAGCATCTCATTTTGTAAATCGTTACGTAAAACAATTATGTATGTTTAAAAAAAAGTAGAAAATCGTTTTTTAAATTAAAACACCTAAACGGAAAGTGGCATGGGTTAAAAATAGAGTGCGACAACATATTTATATCTGTAAGGTTTCCTGGTAATATATAAATAAACGGCTGATAATGATTACTTTTATAGACTAAGGTAAACATGTAAACATGTTTTGGTTAGATTAAACTAAAAGCTTATAATTGTCATCTCCCAAAGTTGCTCTTTCGGACCATTATATTTCATAGTTCATCCGCAGTGATTATATTATAACAATTTCACAGTGAATTGATTCGGAACCACACGCTTCGCTACCTGTCTCGTACTCTGCCAGTGTTGAGGGCAGACGATGCACTGCCTCGAGTTGCTCACCTCTCCGCTACATCAGCCGCGCCCGCCGTTACCTCCACAACCAACACCGCTACATATGGCGCTGCTGCCGCTCTTCCACACTCGCTTCCAGATGTTCAACACAATAGGTATGGCGCTCGTTATTTTTAAACTTATTAACGCTTTGTATGTGGGTAATCAAAAAGCCATTAAAAGTCGGTTTTCGTGACGCTTAAAGTGAGTCGGTTATTTTAGCGTACACGAGATCTTTATAGATCAACAAATCGGAATATAAACAGCGTAAATGTGAAAATGAAGGCATGATCTGTAACATCTTTAAAATTAAGAATTAACTTAACCGATATTAATTGATAATCAGATTAGAAGAGCGAGGGAGAAATGCGCGAGCGATGACAGATAATGAGTGGGATGTGCCATCTAGCGAGCTTGAGATGGAACACCGTAGCGAAACAGGACGGGAGAGCCGCAAGTTCTGTGATGGCGGTGGAGTGTAAGTTGCTTTTTATTTATTTTAACGATGTTGTACACGTTCTTTGTTTTAAGGTCTACTTTCTTTAGTCATAGGCATACATAGCAGACGTATTTTTTTAACTAATTATTTCTTTAACTTTTATTTAGGCTTAACGTTAAAACTATGACTTATTTAGTCAGAATAATCAGAAACTTAAATGAAGCAACAAAATCGTTTACAAAAAAAGATATGTCTAAGGCTTTTTTTGTCAGAGTGGATATATCAAAAAAGAAAACTAAAGAAATAATATAAAACCTATATTCTTATAACATAACTAACACTTATTACGTGATTTGTCTCCCCCCAAGTGCTGCAATGTCCTTCAAAACCATTTCAAGTGTGTCTGGGCTCGTGCCGTCCAGTAACTGAACGCGTTTGTCCTTTTCCATCTGAAAAAAAAACAAATATTTTTTTTTTAAATAACTTACCACTTCTACTTTTCGAAGTCTGACATAATTTAAAGAGACTAAAGATTATCATACGTGATGTTATCAAGAGTCATACCAACCTCTGATCTATACTTCAAGTGCTCTGGCCAGACACACTCTTCAAAGTACCCTGGAATGTCAGGTGGATCATAAAGCCTGTGTACACGTCGCGACAGACATTCACCATATTCCAGGACAAAGTAATACCTGCAAATATACAGTTAGCGTACCTCTTTGTATCGGTTCCCAAAGGTGTATCTCAATTTTTTACTCCCCTATGCATAAATCAAAACAGGTTTTTATTAAGAATACCAAGAAAGTAAAATATATATTTCTTCTATCAATATTAGTATTTTCTTTCATTTTTTTAAACAATTTCACCCCTTGGTACCTTTAACGAGGCGGTATCTATGTATGGTAGGTTTACCACTACTATAGTTCCACTTTTAAATGTCTCTTTTAAATCTTTTTTACTTCCTTATAATTTAAAATTACTAAATGTAATTTCCTTATAGATATTCAAGGAACAAAATCTTACCTTAAGTTGCATAACTCTAATAGTGGCTTAAAATTTAATACAGTAAATCCCTCAAGAATAAGAAACTTTTTCCCTTGTGCTTCCCATTTCCCATTCCCATAGTCTGTGCAATGCTCGTGCGCAAATACTTCTCCTTTGATAGTTTTAACCACATCTTCATACATTTGATTCATATCCAAGGATGATAAAATATCATAGTTATTGTGTTCTAGGTTTTGACATTTGACATGTTTCGGACTGTCATCTGGATAAAAGTATTTGTCCTGGTGAAATACATACACAGGCACCAACTTATCTCTAAGCCTATTAGCTAAAGTGGTTTTGCCACCACAAGTAACTCCAGATATACCAATAATAATCCAGTCATTTGTCATTCTAGTAAGCTTTCTTTGGGATACAATTGAAATAGAACTTCTTGCTAATTGTGTTGCAAAACTTACAAAACTTGCCAATATAGAATATCTTTTTGAGAATAGATTGCAATTACATAAAAAGTATTCTTCAATTTTTGATTGTGACTTATTTGTATATAAAGAATTTAAAACATTTTTTTGTACAATTGGTTTTTGAGATTTTGTTATAAATATGGGTACAAATGATAAAGTGTGAAGGACATAAGACCTCCGATAAAAAATAGCCCCCAAAGTGCACAGAATAGTAACGCCCACTGTGGATCTGGTATGTATTTGTAAATGTAAAGTTCTGAAACAATAACATTAAATGAGTCTCCCAAAGTAATAATATAGTCAGCTTAGGGCGAGTATAGTTCTTGGCGAATTCTGGTCTATATGGAATTTTAATTATAGGCTTTCGTTTTAGTCTTTAGTATAAAAGAAAGTTAGCAAATTTAAAATAAAGGCTAAATAAGTTCCACTCACCGTCGTCAAAAAATGTATATGAATTCACCCAAATCACAAATACGGTAAACACAGTAAATGTAGTTATCAGAGTGATTTTCCCAATAAGTGCATCCGGCAAGTCCATAAATACATTACTAAAACCGTTACCGTCTTTCTATCAAGTAAGTAATCACAAATTTTCAGTAGATTTTCACAACCAAGGTTATCTCTTCTTTGAAGTTTGAAAAGAATTATCCTCGGGGAATAATATGGATTGTTCCTTTTCCACCTTTTTCTCTACTTTCTCCAGCAAAGGTTTACCCTTAGCCGCACGTTCTAGAATCTGTGAATGAAATTATGTATATTTAAATGTATTTTGTCCTCCAACATAATTATATACTTTTTATCATAAAGCATAAAACTATTTATACAAGTAAACTACTTATTGAACAGTTTAAATAAGTGGTGTCATTACAACTCAAGTTATTACAACAAAGTTATGAAATTAAACATTGTCTTTGTCTTTATACACTTTCAAAGACCTTATCTATACTATTGTGAGAGGATTTTAGATTAGGAACTCTTGTACTGTAGAAAGTGTACTGAGATTGCAAACTTATTTAGGTAGATTAGATATATATTGCAACTAAATAAAAATTTTCATTTTAAATATACCATATTTACTATTATTACATATATAGCATTTAATATATAAATATAAGACTAGTGTTGTTTTAGGCAGCATTCTTTCATTGTAAATTAAATAAGAGATAAATCGAACATTTACTACTTATTTGTAGATTACACAACTTTACATTACATTTTTCAGTTCAGTTTTGAGATAGAGAAAAATAGTGACATATTACCTTTTTTGCAATCTTAGGCTTGGACACGGGAGCCGATAGTGCCAGCAACTTCTTAATCTTACTATCCACAGTGTCCTCTTCAGATTTTTCTTCCTTTAGACTCTTACGTTTGATTGAAGATTTATACGGGTGGCTATCTATAAACGTAATGTAACAATTACTCATCAATATTCTTACATAAACTTGAAGACAATGTTTTCAGAACCAGAAACCTTGATATTATCACAACTTTAATGACAGCGATAATTTTTTGTCATCATGTTTGACACAATTATTTCTACATATAAATTTAATAGCTCTTCGAAAAAACGTGACCATGAGAGATTGTTAAAAACACTGTTTAGTATAGACGACAATTTGGAATGATGACGTAACAAATACATTATCTTGCGAGGTTCGGCATTAATTACTAAAGTGACATACCTTGACCCGAGTTAGAGCGCCGGTTCGCTTTGGAACGCTTCTTTTTCTTAGTTTCGTTATCTGCAAACGTAGGAGTGTACTGTATTGAACAAGCCAAAAGTTATAACCAAACGCCTTAAAAAAATTACGTACCTTCTGGATCAACAAATGCTAAAGCTTGTCTAACTAATGCTGAGGACATTTTAATTTGATAAATAACATTTAAAATATTTTTATCCAATCGTAAATTTATAACCTCTTAATAACACTGTTCACAAGCTGATTTTGACAGCTGACAACCCATAAACGAAGGTCGCAGCAAAAGATGACAGCTGTCACTTGATCAAAAATTAATTTCGTTTCACGCAATTTCCTTAAGCTGTGAGGTTTCGTAAATATTATTAAAGTATTTCTTTTCTAGATTTTGTATGCTATATCGAGCAATAAATGGAGATACTGCTGGTCCTGAACGCAGAGAAGATCCAGGAATGGTTCCTCATGCCCCACATGGACCCCATCGTTATGAAGTAAATCTTACCTACCTTTATTATCCTAGAACAACCTTTAATTATAAGGACTTTGTAAAATATTTTATTTAATTCTTAGGGTCCACCTACACCTTGCCCCGCTCGAGTAGAATACGCTACACCGGTATTCGCTAGAAACTACCAAGGAGTATGGCGTTATGTTGTCCAAATACCCTATGAAGGCTACTTTACACAAACTGTGGAGGTCACACGGTAAGGATAGAATTTCAAGTGTTAACTATAGCTATATATCTGGGTACTAGGTCTTTGTTGTTATATATAATGGCATGACTATAATATATATCGCCCGTCATAACTGGTTCGTAAATTAGCAGACTCGGGGCGTCTTTTATCCTAACTGAAACGTATGTGCAATATATTTTTATCATTATCTTTATTTCTTTAGGTGCATGCAGTCTCGGTGCCATTATCTAGAAGGCGGTTGCCTCAGTTCTCCCCGTTGGGTGTCTCTTCTCGTCGCTGAACTCCATTATCCGCCAACACAGCATGAACAGGTAATTCCGTTTGATTTATTTGTACATTTTGTTATCGCCTTTGCTTATGTGTAGTTAATCGCAATGCCTAGCATTGCGGGAGGAGTAGGTGTTTGGGTTTGAAAAGGATAAGTGAACTTTACATGCTTAAGAATTAAAACGAGAGCTGATTAATTATTTAAATAAAACACTTTAACGTTTTAAAACGCGATATATTAGTTAAATTATTGTTTTAACTTTGGCCCGACGTTTCGGATGCTTTGCAGCAGCCGTGGTCACGCGGGAGACTCGAATTATATTCGCGTTTTAAACCGTTAAAGTGTTTTATTTAAATGTGTACTACTCGCGTAAACTATAGACAGTATTTGATTAATTATTGTTTATTAGGATTATCAACAATACCCTGGTCAAACGGGTGAAGTCACCACTGAGAAGCCAATGCATTGCGATGGGCACGATGAACTAGGCTGCTATCAGGTGAGGCTAAGAAGTTTATACTCTTTCACAGACTTTTTTTTAATGATAGAGGAGGACAGTAAAGCATGGGGGTCACATGACGGTAGGTACCCCAGCCTATAGCACCCAAAGATGCGATGTGCCTATTTTGGCTTTGAATATTCGGAAATCCACAGACTGAAACCGACGCGTGATTAAACTTCACGGCTTTTTCATCTGTGGACGGGGGTTGTAACCCGGAATTCCGATATTCCTACCAATCATTAATATCCAGATTTCCAGACAAAGTCCAACATATTTCGGAATAATCATAAATTGTTTAGAAAAATGATGGACACTGTGGGGATCGAATCGACGACCTGTTGATTATTGAACAACCAAATACCATTACACCAACGTGGCTGTCAAAAACAACGTAATAAAAAAGTACGGATCCCTATGTTCGCAAATTAGACTCGCACTTAGCCGGCTGAATTTGTCACAATATGTTAATCATTGATTACAGGTACGTTTATACTACGACTGGTTCTTAGTTCCTGGCTCATGCAAGTGTTGGAGACCAGACTATTTTGCGCGGTACGTCAGACGCAGACATAACGAACTGTAATCCCATTGTTACTGTAATACTGTTTTATTGACTGAAATGTATTAAATTAATCGGCAAGCACTAACAATATATAGCAATCCAAATAGATAAAATCTAACACATAATTTATAACACGATTTGGGAACGAATTAATAATGTAAATAATGTTAATTATACTTGTTAATTGACCAATTTACCAAAAACTACTAACTAATAAAGTTTGATTAACGTCTAATTATACTGGACTGAAATCTTTGGTTAACTTTAATCAATATTTTTATTTCTTGGTGAATTGGTCCTTAGATTTAGATTTTGGTTCTAAGTTTTACTATTTGGTGCTAAAAATAAGTAAGACTGTCTCTGTTACTATTAAAGTGTTACGAATAATTTTAATTATATGTCACTGTATTTGTTAGGAAATTTCTCATAGATTTAACTTTTCTCCAAGCTTGTTCTTTTCTATTCAAAATGGAGGAGCGCGATCTCTTTTGTTTATTTTGTTAAGTCTTAGTATTTTACAACATTAAAGTTCAATAAATTACGTATATTCGTGTTAAAAACAGTTTAATATAGCTAAGCTTACTTTGGTTATGGTAGGTGCAATACAAATTGTACATATGTACGTTTCTTTCTGCCGCTTATATTTATAGTAAAGGGGACATTTCATTCTTTATAGCTATAGTTCTATGTAGATTATAGGAGGTAAAATGTTTTTTCCTTAAACATAAAAGCTCTACGTGCATTTATTAATATAATAAGATATCTAATGTAAACAATAAAATTTACCTACTTACAATTTTATTTTATTTTTTATAAAAAAAGACACAACTCATTAATTTAATTAATTTATTTACTAAGGCAAGTAGTATAGATACATTCTTTGGTTTTGAGAAATACGTGTTACAAGTTATATAAGAATTAGATTATAAGAAATGTTTAAAACTAGACCTAGAGAAAATTTCATTGCTACTCTAATATTTTGAAGTTTAACTTAAAACGGATTCGAGTATTCTACTTTGGGTACATAATACGTTCAAAACATTTACAGAATAGTTATTACCGAAATATAATCAATATACTATGTATAGGCAAAATAATTCTTAGTAATCTTGAAAGGAAAGACTCACGATTAGGGTTCGCAATTGGGGTTACCAACAGTCGGTGAAACATAGTAATATAGTACTTTACTGAAATTGTTCTACAAACTCAAACGTTAATGTAAAAGATATCTGCCGTTTAAAATGTTTTACATTTTTATAGTCGAAGTGTAGTATTTTCAGTACTATATATAACGTTAACAGTTTACATTACGCAGACCCGAAATATAATACGTAACCCTTAGTTGGCAACCCTATCTAACTCTTCGATTGCGTCGAAGACTCCGGTATGAACAGGTTACAACCCTAACTACCAGCGCGCCCAGTAATTTTTCTTACCGCTTTGATATAAAAAAAATTAAGATCTTTTTTTTGTATTTCAAATCCGCTGAAACAATTTTTACAATTACTGTCTGCAAATTAGTGCTATAGGTTTGAAGACACACCTTATTTTATTGCTTAAATAACATAAGGCATATTTTTCATATCATATTCATTCAAGATTTACATCACTTATTTTATTTGACAGTGACACATACAAAATTGTTGATTGCGAGGAAGATCTTCATTGCCTTTTAAATTTACAAATTTATCGTCTATGTCTTTTTGACGTCATAAATTTAAACACATTATGTACGATCCTGCAATAATTACCCATAGCAAAAATACTACTTTTAACGTTTATATGCTTAATTATAATCTTCACTACTTCTCAATATAATAAGATAATTATCACTCATTATTATCACATTTTTGGATACACTAATTATGATTTGATTTTGTCTGTTTAAGAGATTTTATTCGTATATTATATTACGAGTGTACATTGCTATTTTATGTTTTCGATGTAATTAAAAATATCTACATTCATGAATGTAGTTTACAGAATCTTTCAGTTTAACTAGGTGTCGAATCTGCTACTTTACAGAGTGTAATGACAGCATCATGCTGGCAAGCCTACGTGGCCATAGCTAAGAACGGTATTTTATAAAACCTCACTTTTTAGAAGAAGGTACAATCCTCAAAAGTGATTTTGCTAGTAGAACAAAGGGCTAGAGCCACTCACGCCACTTACATGTTATTGTAAATAGCAGACCTTCAATGCCGACCCCAAGCAGGTCGTTTCGAAAGCGTTTATCACGAATAGTATTCTTGATAATCGCTGTTTAATCAAAAAAGTCTAAATCCGTAATCAGCATTCGTTTGTGACAGATTTAGAAGTACCTGGAACATTAGGGTCTACACGCACAGCATCTATACTCCTCGCTTCGTTCTGCGTCTGCCCCGTATCGTTGCTAGAAGTTCCAGCGTCCATGTCTTGGAAGATATTTTGTCGTTGACTATTATAGAAGTGTACGGCTGGAATACCATCCTTTGGATTCGTGAATTCGACATAACATGCTGAATAGGGGGGCGGTGGTTCTTCATATTTGTGTTTTTGGCTACACTCAGAGTATGGTGGAGGCAGATCAGCGGTGTAAAGATCTTGGGCGTTGCTACTCGATTCGGAAGGTGGATCTGCATCGGTTGCCGGTAGCTCCATGTCTGTGACGTTAGAACAATTTAAAATATAGTATTACTAGCTGTACCCACGACTTCGTTCGTGTGGAATAGTGACTTGGAGTAGAATTTTTAATTATTTAGGCTGTTTATTAATTTATGTAATTGTGCATTTATCTATGTTCTAAGTGCTAATTTGCCGCAAAACTCTCACCTCACATCACTCCTACTCTAACTCCCACTCCTATTCCCAAAAAGCCTAAAGAAGAAAGTTTCATTGTCCTAGTTTTATAAAACCACGAATTTCCATACAAACTTTTACCAACCTTTTAGCCCCTTACAACCCCCTTTCGCAATAAAAAGTAGTCTATGTCCTATCTCAGGGTCTAGACCATCTGTGTATTATAGGCATTTCTGAAGTAACTCAATTACTTCATAGCAAAATTGTATTTAGATAACTTACGGCTTGTAGCTAGGACATTTGGTGTTGGCCATTCTTCTGATCGATTCCTACGCCCTATAAAAGAACATTTTACGAAGATTTAAAATAAAATACTGATTTTGTTATGAGTTATGTAGAGTAATAGTACATTATGATATAAGTGCGGTAAGTTGAAAATTACAGCCGAGGCGATATTACTAGCCCGAGCTATCGGCGAGGGCTATAAGAAAGCTGAGGCTAAGCGCGAATTTTGACAATAAATTACAACCATTTATCTATAACAAAAACACAAAAATATTAATTTACTTAATTAGTAATACTGGCTGTTTTTGTACCTTTACGTAAAAAAAAAGTTGATGCGCGCGCATCGCTTTTTTGAGGACAAGTAAAAATAATTCCGCGCGCTTTTTCTTTTCGCTGTATTTATTAGAAAATGTCGTCAAGTAGTGATGAATTTATTAATTTCCTCGTAAATATGTTATAAAACGTCGTATGACATACGTGCGCTTTGTAAATTACAGCCTACAATATACTACAATAGTAATATCGCCTCGGCTGTAATTTTCATCTTACCGCACTTATATCATAATGTACTAATACATATGTCATGAGCTATTGAACCGTTAAAAATAAATAATTATCAATCGTTCTATTTTTTTCAAATATGCATTGCGTTGCCTTTACCGAGATTTCAATTGGCTGAAAACACATAAAGGAAAGAAACGAGCAACAGACAATAGCGAAGTGCAGTCGGAGGATACCGTTGCCAATACAAGGCTAAGGTTTTTAACAGACAAGCACAGACACTTACGGGCTTAAACTTGGATGGATGGATTTAACTGAGGGCTTTTGCATCCGTAGACGTGGTCGTAACCCGGTCGGAATTCCGATATTCCATCCACCCATTTTTTATAAATAAATGTCTAATTCATAAGGTTATTATAATTCAATACTTACATTTAAGATAATTTTTGGTGAAAAAGCGGTCTGTAGCTCGCAGCAGAAAGAGCGCTGCAAGCAGTAGTAAAGCCCCGGCCGCCCAACCGCGTGTTGCGCGCCACATATTGGCGCTATCAGCTGCCCTTACACTTGTCTGCTGTTTTGGCTAAACAAGGTGTGGCATTATTTTTATCTCTCGTATAGTTAAGAAAATAGAAAACTAGATACAAAAATGATCGACATCACAATAAACTATTAACTATTCAATTTTTTGTATGATTCAAAAGTTTGATAGAAATGAACACGAGCGCGGCTGTTTAAAACTGAGTTTTAAATATGATCTCGCGCCGATCGGGTCAAAGGCGCACACAACATAACATTCTATAAACAACATTTTAAAAATGTTCGATTTTCTTAAAAATCTTAGATTATTTTATATGTGCTGGTTTAAAAGTAAAAAGAAGAATATTGATTTACCACTGTATCAAACAACTCCTGCAAGTTGCGAGGTACAACCACTGGACGCCATGTGGGTGGGGGGAGACCATGGTCGAGTCGACTGTTCAGTCTGTAATGTATAATTAATTATATGAGGCATTGAAAATGTATTGTTTTGCATAATAAAAGAGTTGAAACGATTATTGACGACTAAATATTAGGTTCTTTCTTCACTTAAAAATATAAAAAAATGTAATTCTAATTATACATTTATAAATTGCCTAACACTTTTTAATGTAGAAAGATCGCGAGCGAAATGTAACTAATTCAATTCGGTTGTTTTACTTAGTATGTACCTACATCGTTCGACGTCATGCTTGTAGGAGACTAAGAGGCCATGCAGCTAATCCTGTCATTGAACGTTAAACTTATTAACTAAAACGCAAGTAGATTATGATAGTCACAATTGTTGCTTGGTTTGTAAAATGATGTTCTATGAGTAGTTAGGATTCGAGAGTTCTGGCTCACTCGTCGGGGCCCGTCGCTGGGGGACCCCCCCCTGGCTGGCTGGGGTCTCAAATCGCGATCGCTGTGGATTCGCTGGGGGACCCCCCCTCTGAAATGTAGCACGGCGCCGCCTAGCGTCTATTTGGGAAATATTGATATCAGCGCCATCTATTGACAGTTTTCGAAAAACTATCTACCTTACCGAGCTGTGGCTCACAACTCAGGAACCCCAACTGACACGGTTATCTCCTTTTTAAAGATTTATAAACCGCATATTGCAAGGAAACAATATCGCGTTTCAGGATAATCTAAATAAAATAATTAAAGATTGTGTACACATTTATTACTTCATAATATTTTCAAAAACACCGACTTTTACTTGTATATCATTCCATTCCCGATTATGTTCATCAAAAAACATTATATAATCGTCAAGACTCTTTCCATGAACTTTAAAAAATATATAAAACAAACAGTACTCCCCACATACTGATGACCAATCGTCTTGCAAAACTCTTTTATTGTAGTTCCACATAGTACAGTTACGGTTCAAGAACAATCTGTGTGAACCTGAAGGTGCTCGGCCGAAAGAGTCAAAGTATTCACCGTGTCTGCTTTTATCTACGTGTATTGCTACCCAATGGGAACCTGGCTGTGTATCTGGGTCCAGATTGCTTATTAAATAAATAGGTAATTCCATATGAATGGGTAATCTGTTCGCGGCAAAAACATTGTTATGTAATACTGGATTTATTTTTGATAAGCAGTCCTGAAGCTGTAAGGTATTCATTTTTAAATTCCGTAGCTCTACAGTTCCGGATTGATCATAAAGTAATGGTGTGATTACGGAAATGCTATCCATTTATATAACATAAATGTAATAATAATAACACAGTTTGCAAACATCAATACTTTATTAAAAGTCTTATTATACTTAATCTAATACATTTGAGTCTTAACTGCTATAGTCTACGATTACATTACGATTTTTATCAATTTCAATTACATTATCAAACTCAGCATATACAATACAATTTATAGTTTCCGAAAGCGAGGATTCAAAACGAACTTCCAATCTCACACTACCATTTCTTATGAGGTTCCAGTGACTGGCGGAACTAGCTGATAAATCAGCAGTTAAATCAAAAGCCAGAAGACAGTAACCTTTAGAATATTGATCTCTAGATATACCATTCCCTTCGTTAAGAAAATGAATACCCGTTCCTGAGAACAGAGTATGATAAGCCGTCGTAAAAATGTTGTTCTCGAACGACGGCTGTAACGCCTTCGAAGGTATTTGCTGGCCATCCACGTATAAACAAAATGAACTGAGGTCGTAGTTTTCAAAATTAAATGGGTTCTTTGTGAGACAGCCGTTAAAAGCTGTGTTATTTACAAAACCAACTATACATCGTTTTGATAATTGTCCCAAAAAGAAAAGCAAATAAATAAGTAATTACACTTACTTGTCATTAATGTTATTTGTTTGATAAACTAACGAGACATCTTTTATTCCTTGGGATATATAAGAAGGCAGGAGCTCTTTAGAAAACAGTTGAAATATTTCGTGTGTGAATAAGGTTTCTGTTTTAAATAATTTTGGATAGGAAGAAATGGAGGTAAGTTTCACTCGTATTCCTTAAAAAGTTAATAAAGTTCTTTAATTGTTTTGCTAATATTTGAAACTAATTTTAAAGTTTTTTCTAGCCTTCTAATCTCGAAGAAAACACTTTCAAGCAATATTATTACCCCATGCTACTATCTGATGATGAAACTAGTAACGAATTAATAATCGAGAGGAAAGCTGTGAAAAGAAAATCTACCCAAGATGAAAATTTTGATGAAATTTTCAATTTTTCGAGCCCAAGTAAGAAAAAGCCAACAGAGTGTTCATCGGTTTCACGGGCTCAACCTAATGGATGTGTTGCATTTATAACAACGAATCAAAATGATATATTAACAGCCACTTACTTACTTAAAATCGAATTGTATGACTTGAAAGCAATATCAAATATACCTAAAAATCAGCAATGGAAACATGCTAAAATAAGGACTAAATATTATGCCAAAGATACAAGCTCTCATTTAAATACGGTAAAACAAGTTATATATAACATAAGTAAGGAAATATCATCGTTGGATTCTTGTAAAAAAACAGTTTTCAACAACAACTGGAATTGTTAACTGATATTGATCAAATCGCTTTTATTAAAGCGGTGATAAAATAAGAGGTGGCATATCTCAGTGCAGCAACAGATATGCTAAATCTAATAATAAATATTTAGAAAATTTTGACATGAACATTATTCATTACAGAAATTTAAAACAATATTTAAAAATGGGTATTAAACTAATCAAAATTCATAGGATATTAAAGTTTCGTCGAAGTCCCTTGAAAGTTGAAAAATACATTGATTTAAACACTAATTTAAGAAGCGTTGTGGTTTCCGATAGGTGTAGATCAATCAAACGTACCGTCTTTACTCAAAAACTAAATAAAACTTGTTTGTCTTATGATGAAATTTGTAATTTAGTAGTTGTAAGGAATTGTAAATAATAGATAAGTAATGATTGTTTGTAAATTGTTTAGACATAAATTTGTTAACGATAAAAAAAATATATAGAGATCTAACAAAGAGTTTAATTTATTTCCTTTTAAACTTCTGATTAAGCATGTCGTGCAAAATGTTTCACTTTACACATCCTTTTACTGCTATAGTTGCAGGCCCGAGTGGTTGCGGTAAAACAAATTTTGTTACAAATTTTATTCAAAATATGAAACATCTTTGCAATAAAAATTTCGCCCAAATTACATGGTGCTTTGATGAAATGCAACCGATATATAACTTAGAAAATGTCAATTACTGTCAAGGTATTCCAGATTTGAACATGTTTGATGGTAGGGAGCCAAATCTAGTAATATTAGATGACCTTATGAGAGAAACTGATGGTAGGATTGTAGATATATTCACCAAAGGAAGTCATCACAGGAACTTAAGTGTTTTTTATATTACGCAAAATTTATTTCATCAAGGAAAAGGACAAAGAGATATTTCGTTGAACTCAAGTTACATCATCTATTTTAAAAATCCCAGAGATAAAACACAGATTAGGTACTTGGCACGTCAGGTATCTCCAGAAAATCCTAAGTTTATTGAAGAAGCCTACAGGGATGCCACTAAAGAAGCTTATGGGTACTTGATGATTGATTTAAAACAAAATACCGCTGATTTATGTCGAATAAAAACAAATATATTCTCTTTATCACATGAGTTTTGTCATGTGTACGTGCCAACGAAGGGGTTTAAATATGCTAAGAACCAGGAAATTCCCGTCATTTACAAATAATGCATCGAAGTTTAAGCACGCATAAAGATTTGCTCTCGGCTCTTCATAAATTAAAACCAAAGTATAGAATAGCACTTTTAAAATCCTGTGACAAAGAAGAAATAAATTGTATTTGTGAATGTATTTATAACGTGTTGCAAGGAAAAATACCCATTGAGCATAAAGATAAGAAAAAATTAAGTAAATATAAATCTGTTCTTCGCAAGATAGTTCGCAAATGCTCGGATAAAGTACGGAAAAATATCATAATTCAAAAAGGTGGTGCATTTTTACCGATAATACTTGGTTCTATTTTGAGTGCATTGCTTGGAATTATAGTAAAATAAATTACAAGATGGAACATGCTAAGAGAATGGTTCTCATTGAACCACATTTAATAGAAAAAATAAATAGTTGCAATACATCAGACAATCCAACTTCTCGATTGGATGCAGAAATGAAAAAAATATTAAGTAGCAAACTTGATGATAGAAAAAAATGTATTTTGTATTTACAAGTTCTTCAAAGATACTTACATTTTAATGAAGAAAATCGTCGCCCCATTGAAGTGCCAGTAATTTTTCAAAATGATAATATTACAAAAGCAGATATAAAGGATGAAACACAAGATCCTGCTCCAGTGTTACAAATACCGGAGAAAGAAACACAGGATACAGCACCTACAAAATATCCTATTTACAATCAAAGTCAAATTTTAAGTTTGATTCCAAAAAGTTACTGCAAAAAGGGTGAATCAATTTTAAATATATTATCACTAAGTAAGAACAAAGTGAATTGGAATGAAGATAATGGTTTAGTGATGATAGATGGAAAAACAATTCCGGGTAGTAATATTGTGGATTTAATTAATGATTTGCTAAGACCTTTGAAAAATAATAACCCGATTGGTTGGGAGGACTTTGCGACTGCTTTGAAAGACTTAAAAATTCCACTCACGTATTTGGGAAATGCACAACGCATTGATTTCATAAAAAATCTAACGTTAAAAGATTTAGACGAGTTGTCAACCGACGAGGAATATTCTACTCCTACTACAACTAAAATAAGTCGTAAGAAATTTTCCTGGGAGAAATGGAATCCATACTAAACACAAATAATTTAAATTCTATAAATGAAATATATTATGATCCATCTCACCCAGCAGGATTTAGTAGTGTAGATACATTAACAAAAGCAATGAAAGGTAAAATGACAAAAGCTGATGTTAAGGGCTGGCTGCAGTCTCAAGAAACTTATACTCTTCATAAACCGATACAAAAACGATTTCCACGAAACAAATATATTTTATCAAACTTTAATGAACTTTGGCAAGCAGATTTAAGCGATATGAGAACTTATTCCAAACACAATGATGGCTATAATTACATACTTTGTGTTATTGATGTATTTTCTAAGTATGCATATGCAAGACCTATGAAAAATAAAAATTCTGAAACTATTAAAAATTGTTTTGAGTCTATATTTGAAGAAGCAAATGCTACTCCTACTCATCTACAATCTGACAAGGGCACAGAGTTCGTTTCAAAGTATGTACGCAAATATTTAAACACTAGGAATATTAATTACTATACAACAAACAACCCCGATATCAAAGCAAGTATTGTGGAGAGGTTTCAAAGGACACTAAAAACAAAAATGTGGCGTTACTTTACCCACAAGAACACCTACAGATATATTGATATTTTACAGGATTTATTGTACGCTTATAATAACAGTTATCACACCAGTATAAAAATGTGTCCGAGAGACGTTAACTCTAGTAATATTAAAACTGTTTGGGACAACTTATACGGGAAGTCAATAGATGTATTAACTGCTAAAGTACCGAAATTTAATATAGGTGATTACGTTAGAATAACTAAATATAAACATGTATTCGCAAAAGGTTATGAATCGAATTGGAGTGATGAAATATTTGTTGTGTCATCTGTAGTTCACCGGTCACCATGGATTGTATATACATTGAGAGATTTACAAAACGAACCAATCGAAGGCACGTTTTATGAGAAAGAATTACAAAAGGTGTCATATAACCCCACTTTAAGTTTTAAAATTGATAAAATAATACGCTCTCGTGGATCAGGGGACAGAAAAGAAGTGTTTGTCAAGTGGAAAGGATATCCACATAAATTTAATAGTTGGATTTTGGCTTCGTCGATAAATACATTTTAAATATGAAAGAAAGTTTTTATCTAACTTTGCTTAGTAATAGTTCTAAGGAATATTTTCCGGATAATTTAACTACTCGCTTTTCAACTAAATTACCAAAATCAATAGTACTTGAAGGAACATGGCATGTGGGAATTGTCGAGTTTCAATATCCTTGTACTATGTATACAGTTCAAGAACACGAAAATATTGTTTATATTACAAAGATAGTAAAGATGCCAAATGAATCTGAATCTTCAATAGTACATTACAAAGCACACATTCCTGCTACAA